TACTCTTACCGTGCAATTGTAGATTCTATACTTAGAGCATGTGTCCAAATCTTAAATAATGTAAACGTTATTTTAGTCATTATACTTTACTGCTAAAAGTTCTATAGACTAGTATAGATAGTAAAATAATATAACATAATATGTCGTATTGGATATAGGAAATTTTAGAAATTACGCGTCTGAATGACATTTATAGTCAGAGAGATGCAAAAGATATCAAAGGACTATTCAAATTCATTGGTCGAAAACAAATTGACAATGCCATGACAGAAAACAAGAAAAAACAAAATAATAACATCAATATACAAAACACAATATCGAAAACTAAAGACTGAGCAACACGAGCCCCAACAAAATCCTGGTGTGATCTCAGGTGCTCCGACAGGATAAGCAGATGATGCACCACATGTGACACCAATCTTGTTGCTCATCTGAATACACACATAATGATACGTCGAATTTGATGTGTCACATTCGGGGAAAAGAGTACGGGATTGTTGTTACAAAAACTGGATCATATCTGTTGTCATCTGTGAAACAGACATTCGATAACAGTGTCAGTAAGTACGTATGTTAACGTACTAGATCAATAAACAAATATCAAAATAGCTTTAAGTTTTAAAGGGTATATCGAAAAGGTGACTTATAAAATGAAAATAAAATATGTACGACATATCGAATAAAACAATATAAACTATGGAACATTAAAATATATATCTATGAAATATTTGATTGAAACTGTTTAAACGAATGCATGTAAAAGACCAGAATGAAATTAAATATTTAATGTCAGTAGGATTTTGAACGATAGTCAGATATAAAAAATCCAAGAGTCAAAAAGAGTATCGAACAAATCATCTAATAACATCTGTAATAATTAAAACATTTGTTCTATTCAGAACAAAGGGATAACATTACGTTTATGATCAAAACTTTACCATTGGCACATTAAAACACAGCAATAGCTTTTACTACAACGATAAATAACACATCATGTCGCTGACGAGTCGAATGTGCAGGACGAAAATATCAATTTTATAAACAGCAGGTCAAATAAATCGACTTTCAATTGGAAAATTTTAATAAAATATGTTTCGTGACATTTGTCATAATTTTTATTACACTTCAAATAAAATAAGCTGTTTTCTCCATTTTTACAGGATCCTATCTACAAAACCTTGACATTAGTGTTGGCAAAACTCAGTATGACATGATTGTATGTGCACATTACGATGGACCAGGTACAAACGGCGAACATATAGTATTTAATATGGAGAGGAAAGCTATTGGTCGGTACGTCAAGTTAAATATCGTAGGCACTGGACGGCTGCAATTTGCAGAAATAAAAGTTTTTGCTGTTCCCACAGAGTCAGTGGTTTGTTAACAACTATGAAAGTAGACAATTAAATCCTTATATGCTTATATTAAAATAGATCTGTTAGCATGTGAAAAAAACGACTTATTCTTTGCAGAAATATTCAGTTGAATTGCTTTGTCAAGGATTTGAACAGTAAAACAGTGATCTCGCTACAATTATTGGAATCGAACATTTGCAATTGAAACCAAAACACTCAAAAAATACCTTGAAATACTAATTTGTTTGATAATTATAACAAAAAACTAGGAAGATGTGGTATGATATCTACCAGTGACCAACTAACGTAGAAGTTTACGAATTAATAGGTTCATATTTCCATATCAAGTTTGAATTAAAAAGGAAGAATATGAAATACCCCAAGTAAAGCAAATCCATGAACAGGCGAACTAATAACCACATAAACTCAGAATGATGGATCAGTGCGTTCACGGAGTTATAATCTCTTGATATTATGCCATTGCCAGTACTATTATACGACACAATATTCTAGTAGCAATTGCAACCATCATCAACATGACAAAAACAAAAAACGGAAACAAATGTCAATCCACCATGCTGATTGATGTATAATCTATGGTAGCGGTAAAATGTCTAATCACCAAACCATGATCACGACTACAATATAGAGGAGTTATTGTTTAGTCAGGGTCTTTCTTGTTACATTACAAGATATGTCTTTGCTCATTGTTAAAAGCCGGGCGATGACTAATAGTTGTTTACATCCTAGTGCGTTGGTCTCTGGGGGATAGTTGTCTATTTGGTAATTACATAACATCTTAATTTTATAAAACCGTATCGTAAATGTTTACAACTGTAAATGTCAATGGAGCACGAATATGACATGAGACAAGAAACTAGTTAATTACACTCGTGACCTAATCAGACACAATATATATAAAAAATTTAGGTTACTCCGAGGGATGTGAATAAGACAGCGCAACGTTTTTTGCTGACTAGACGAGGTTTATTTTTTCATAGAAAAGAAGAATGATCATGAAAACACATTTCAAGTTATATCACTTTTGCTCATAAATATTTTAGAAGAAACAACTAAAGTCTTACCCTGGCCACAATAAAATTTAAAGTAAATGCGTTGGAGTAAGTTTTACAGAAAACTGAATGAACATGGAGGCTAGCATTATAGCTTCTTCGTAAGACATTCAGTCTTCATTCATGTTTTGTGCATCTCTGTTAGTAGAAAAAAGAAAGAAATATCGTTTCATATCTAGTAAAAACTCATCAAAGAAACTAGGGCACGTATCGTCTGCATTAGACTCAACTGCGTCGCTCGAATCAAAAGTTAGAAGGTCAATATCAAACACAAAGTTGAAGAGAATTGTAAGCCAAAAATTTCAAATAGTTGTGCTAAAGACGACTGAGGCCCTTAATTGCTGAGGTAGAAAAAACTGGCTGTTTTGAAGAGTTCTAAATTCTATAATCAAACAATTTATGGTAAATTAACATATATCAATAATATTTCATGTCAACAAAAAGTGCTGAATACTGGGCTAGTGATCCCTCTGGGTAGTAGAGTCCACCAGAAGTGGCATTGACCCAGTGGTTGGAAAAAGTCATCAAGATATCAGGTTGATAATCTCTGAGTCTGCATACAATAATGTTTTTGTGAAATTATACAATTATTCGTAACAAAAAGTTGTAAGCAATTTTCTGCTAATACAAATGCATACAGAAAAAAATATCGATTGCAGACTTTTCTTGCAATTAAAATATATAACATTCTTGAGGCAATACATAACCTGTTGAATAATAAAACCATAGAGGTCCATTTTGTAGGTAGTAATATGAAAACAAGTTTGCCTTGATATAAACATGAAATGACGAATGAAGGTGCTTACAATGGTGTGTTCAATAAACATTACTTTTTAAAGAGACATTATTTAATAGATTAGCGCTGAATTTTCGAAATCACCAAAGACTTCGCTGATATAAATCTATGATATAAATTTTATAATAACTCCACAAGAGAGGTTTGTCAAAGAGTGCCTAAAATGCAATTTTCTATTGAATTGATGTTTCCAAAGTGCATAACTCGATTTTCGAACTAGTCCAAGTCATTGCTGATATAAACCTTTGATATAAGTTTCATAATATAACTGGCAAGAATTGTAAACTTGAGAGCACTTACGATGGAATTTAATAAATAATTCACATTTCTAAAATAAATACCCCCTATATAAGTAATTGATCAGCGCTGAATTTTGAATTCATTCGAGACATTGCTGATATAAACCTTTGATATACATTCCATAAATATCTGGCAAGACTATTACCAAATATTTATGAAAATTATAGAATTGTATACTTGAGAGAGTTTAAAACGCAACTTTATATAGAATTTACATTTCTAAGGGACATAACTTCTGTAGAAATATTTTATCAACGCTGATTTCGAATTCGTCCGAGACATTGCTGAAATAAACCTTTGATATATACACTACTAAAATAACGAGGTCCAATTTATTAGCCGGCATGACGTTAAAACGACGAATCAAAGAATTCAACTTTATATATAACTAATATAGGACAATGGTGTTGTTTAAAAATTACACCATTCCAGGCCCTTTTGTTTTCCACATAATTAATATTACCAATAATTAACAAGTTCCGGGTCGAATCCGATTAATTTGCTTAATTAGTTGAAAATTAAATTTAGTTTATTGTAAGTTTATTGTTGTAAGAAAACCAGGACGGGTTCAAATAGAAAGATTTTGAAATCCGAGAAAACTGTGCACATTACAATTAACATGACTTTATCAGATGACAATACGAATACTAACAATCCAGACTAACAATAAGGCATAGGTACTTTAATTCAGTCACGGACCCGCGGGTGTGTTCTAGTAGATTTATAAAAATCCCACAACAGATGTAGGCTTGAGATCACTTACTTACTCAATTGTCGATATATTGTCCATACAATTCCTATTTCCAAGGCGTATAACTCATTTTAAAACAGTTGTTTGGTAGTGATTTCTGAACTTGTTCGACACATTGCTGACATCAACCTTTGATAGAAAAATCTGGCAGAAATTGTACATGTTAGAGCGAGTACAAAACCGGACGGACGTAAGGACTGACTGACGGTTGCACATACCAATAAAAATAATAACCCATCAGTCTTCTATTAAAAAAAAGGAGCAGCAGTTTTTCTACGATTAGGCAGGGGTATGTTACCGCTGATGAACTGGAAGTTAACAGTTAGAAAGTTGAAATCATAAGAATTTTTGTCTTTTTTGTATAACTTTACGAGATTTGAACATCTATAAACTACTACTGACTTACATACATTTTGGATCAAGATATTGAACAGCCATTCTTCTTTCGGTAGTATCCTTAATCTGAAGTGCACGGGGATATATATATAAGATGCAAGCATTATATAAAATGTGGGTTATTGAGTAACAGATTGATCAATTGATGGCTGTTTTACTCTGCATCAACGCAAAAGGCTACATCGCAGCGATTGAGTTACAGTAAATCATCAATATATCTAAAAGTGAAATTAAAGAACTTCGTAAATGTCTTTGGTTTACTGTCTTGTATATGCATATCCCAGATATCGTTTTATTCGCTTTCAAAATCAAAATAAAAAAAGCCGCCTTCATTTATTTTATTTTCAAGCAATACTCCTCAAATGGTTTATTAATTGTATTGTATATTTTAATGCCATCATTCCTGTATTGATATTAACAATCAAAGGAATTTATTTCAAATGGTTGTCAGATTTAAGACATAAATCTTTTATCTGCTATTTTGTGAAATGAACTCTCAAATATTTAAGCATGCCCACAACATAGAAACTACAGACAAGTTTAATTTGTCGAAAAAACTACATTTTCAACATGCCTTAGCTGCAATGGTTACACAGAATAATAACAAAAGTGCATAGTAATATCCATTTTATCGCTCAGATCTACTTTAGGGTGTGCACCTTTTAAATACTGGAAACTACTTGAATACAAGTTCACATAATCATCAGTATCCCATGTTATGTACTCTTTTTGTGAAGTCATACCGGAAACTTTTTGGCATTCCGTAGAGCCTTCGTTACGGAGTAAATAAAACGGTCGGTCTTTTGGAAGGAAAATTGCCTGGTTTACGTCACTGTCATTTCTGAAAGAAACAATGCTTTACAAATCTACGATATTTTGTATTGTCTTTAATAATAATGATAATATTCATAATAATAATAATAATAATAATAATAATATTAATAATAATAATCATAAAATAAATGTTACTGAAAATGAGGCTTTTTGTGGTACCAAGTAAATAAAAGACAGGAATAACTGAACCAATTTTTTTATATTTGTTGTAGCTAATTTGTAATCAAGCAATGGTCATTATGATTTCAGTATATTTTGTCTATCAAAATTGGTTGTTCGTAAAGACAGGTATAACTAGACATTATTGAGATGGGAGCCATCTCTGTGGGCCCCGCTGACCTTGAACTTTGACCTAGGAAATTTTACAAACATGACACACCCTCTGGTGTTGGTTAATATACATGTCAAGTATAAAGTATGACATTATAACGGTTCTCTAAATATAGATCGGACACAATTTGTTACGGACCGACAGACAGACAGACTGATCACTATAGGGCGACCCGCCACTAGGCGGTGCCCTAATTATTATTTGTATGTACTACATATTAACTTTAATAATAATAATCCAGTGTTGTCAAAGTCCTATCATTCAGCATTACAAAATTCATGACATAAACAAATGAATTTCGATTCCAAAAATTCAACTCACAAAAAATCCCATTTTAGTCGTGTTTCAACCAGGCATGGGGCGAATTACATTGCAATGTAATGCATTATATTACAATTACTTTGACCAAACCATGCATTATATTACAATTACAATTACATGCATTTATCAAAGTAATGCATTATATTACAATTACTTTTGCAAAGTAATGCCTTGAATTACACATTACATTTGAAAATTTTATTAAGTGAATAGAAAAATTAAACATTTTGAAAAACAACTAGAAGTCACAAAAGATTCAAGCATATGCAGTAACTGTTCCATGAATTGAATATAAGTATACATGTAAAAAGTCTATTTAATTCGACTTTTACAATTTTAATTATTTTAACTTAATGTTGACTTTACTTTTAAAAATATACTTTTTTTTTTTTTTTTTTTAATTTCTTAATTAATGAACAATTGTCTAAATGGTGAAAATATTGATTGTAAAACAAACTAATTAGTGTTTTATAACAAAGTTTAATTATCTTTTATTTAAGCAAGACAAGATATTCTTTGATCTTATGACAACAATACAGTTATGCTTTTCAAATATCAATCTTTTTATGCAGGAAAATGTATGAAATAAGATGAAATAAAGAATATATTCTAATGATTAACATATTCTTAGTTAATCAAGAAATCTCAAAATTTAGTTTAGTTAAAACTCCAACAATATGTTAAAGATGTAGTATGTGAAAAAAAGTAATGACATGTAATGCCATGTAATGCATGAAATTACACAACTTTTTTCTTAAGTAATGCATTATATTACAATTACATGTAATGCACAAATTGCTGCATTACACATTACATGCAATTACTTGGAAAAATGTAATGCATTACCATGCATTACAATTACAAATTTGCATTACCCCATGCCTGGTTTCAACTAAGAAAAAAAATTACAGTATACCATATGATGTTTTATCAAAGGACGGAAAGGTAGTCCCGTTTATCCAAAAAAATAATACATTAACCGTGAGGAATCTTATCTCCAAAAAAGTTTATTTTTGTTTGTGTTGGTAAAAAATTGTTCATGTTAGTAATGGTAATTTATAAATTTTGATTAATTAAGGAAAAGTTTTCTTTTAAATTTGGAATTTATCGTGGAAAATATTTATCGACAGGCGTATCAAATATCCATGAAAATACAATATTCCTCAATCCACAAATAATGGAATCCACAAAAAAAAAATGAATCCACAGTATACCAATAAAATCAATGTTACGTTTTACCTAAAACATACGCATACAATTATGATAATAAGTAGCCAGAGAAAAAAATTTTTTTTTATTGCAGTTATTAGTTTATACTAACTTTCATTACAAATAAATGCATTGTAGTGACTACATCTGTTAAAGTTACGTAGATGTATTGATAGATCATTTTTAATAGAATTTCTGTTCCATACTCATTCATTTTTGCTATTTCGTAAGTTAACCAAAGGCATTACGTGATGAAATACAAGCAACACATAGAACATAACACCTCCTTAGTATTTGCGTAACATTCAAGTCATTAATAAGTCAAGTCCTGACCTACATAATACTGAAACATAAGCATTCTTACTGCTATATATACACCGTTAGTGTGCGGTGTTCATTTAATGCAATAAGCATTTTCTAATACAATTTTCTTTTTTCCTTGGTATAATGCTTTGAAATGTTTTGATTATTTGACTGATGGTTTATGCACGAGTTTTATAGTGCGTTGTAAAAAATAATTTTGAATTTTTCAAATTATTATTACTTGCCATTGCCGCTGTAGACCTCTGATTGGTCAAATTAAATAATTGAATTTTTATTTGCGTTATTCAAGTTCAAAATATACCAATCGATGAACTGTTTATTCCCTTGTAATACTACCTGCCAATTAGCCAGTAATGCATTTCTATGAATATGATAATACATTTAATTGCATATTATAGTGAATATTTCATGGTATTGTTCTAAAACTAAGATATCATATCCCTCAGACAAAATTATCATTATACTGATTCTCCTTATCGATGTTTTAATCATTTTTGTGTATTTAACAGAATTGGCATAAAAGGTTCGAACGGTATTTTCGATACATCTCAGCAGGAGACTTTCTATGACATTAATAAACAAGACGACCAGATAAGCCACTTTTACAACTATAAAATGTTAATCGAGGAATTGTATATTCAATAATTTTAAAGTTCAAAATCTCATGCCTTCATACTTTATTGGTACTAAATTATATTAAGACCAATGGCAATGACATCGATCATGTTAAATGCTAGCCAAAACATGCATTATTTCGAAGAAGATGTTATATTCCTAGAATAACAATCAGAGAAAAGAGAAAGATATCTTTTGGCAGTAAATACAAATTAAAACAAAATCATAATGGAAAAACAAACAACAACAACATAAACCTTGTGATAACTTTGTTACCTGCAACAGAAGTACATGACTACATCTGGAGAGAATATACCATCAGGATGGTAGGAACCGGTGTATGAGTTACGACTGGAGACTGAGTCCCAAACCACGGAACCTTCACTAAACCCTGGAAATGATTAATCTCATTAACGAATATCTAAATGAAAATAATACATTTATTGTATAAACAAATTACAATCTGAATTGCATATAATATTCTACAGGAATTCGAAACATTTCTAATGAAAGAAGTGGTAGATGATACAGAAGTGATAAATATAATTCATGTGTTGAAGAAAAACCGACAATACCACGGTAAACAAAAAAAAAAAAAAACGAAGAAAAGATAATTTTTTTCTCTCACAAAACACAACAAAGAAAGTTAGGGACTAAGCAACACGAACCTCACCAAAAAAGTGGGTTTCAAAAATTTAAACATATGATCTAATTGAAAATTGAAAATTGATCAAACTAAGTATATTACACTACATAATGAATATTTCTGAAAAGTCTGTTATTCTTTTAGTATAACTCAAATTAAAACTATAGTGTGTGACAAGATTTTGTGATGAAATTCTATGTTTGCTATACCATGGTTCACTTAAACGCACTTGATTATAATACCACTGAATTAATCATAATGAAATAATTCTTTGAAATAATTTTAAAATGATTTGGGTATGTATCCCTGTATTATGTGGTAATAAATTATTGCTTTTATATGGCGAAATTTCTGTATAACGTCAATAACGTTTTTGACTTTTGAATGTCAAAACTTTTTTTGGCTTTTTATACGCTCATGAGAGACAGACAAACTATGCCAATACAAACATTTTAATTTTTGAAATTATAGCAAAACGTTAGGGTGATTTTTTATTTTGTAGTAATAACAAGAAATTTCTCTCCCTACCCAATTTCCCTATAACACCTATTTTGATATAAAATGGTCATTGTTGTTGAATCTGTTATAATTCGATTAGATGAAGTAACTTGTTTGTGGATTACCAATTAAAGATATCATTTGTCTTAAAGTTTTCTCTCTGTATACTTAGAGTTCCAGTCGAAAGCAAATGAACTCATTGAGTTGCAATATAAATATAAAATAAACAATGTTATTATACTAAATTAGTCATAATTTAACTTTTTTTGAAGTTCCTAATCTTGATAATTACTCTTTGAAATATGAGAATGATATCTTCTATATGAAAACCTTCTTATCTGAGGATAATTTGTTGGGAACATGACAATTGTTTAACATTCGTTTGATGTGTTTGAGCGTTTGATTTGCCATTTGTCAATTTGATCATTTTAAGGCCAGATTCGTCTCCCTTACAAATCTTGTCAGGAATCATAAGGAATTGAATCATTTTCCTTTGTCTTTTTATTCTTAAACCTATATCTGAATCACATTTCATCAAGACTCATAACATTGCAACATACCTGATGGACACTCTTCTTGTTTGAATAGACAATAGTTACCATGTGGCCACTCTAGCGCATATCTTGTAGGGGCTCTGAACATTTCAACATACCTGATGGACACTCTCCTTGTTTGAAAAGAATATAGTTACCATGTGGCCACTCTAGCACATACATTGTAGGGGCTCTGAACATTTCAACATACCTGATGGACACTCTCCTTGTTTGAAAAGAATATAGTTACCATGTGGCCACTCTAGCACATACATTGTAGGGGCTCTGAACATTTCAAAATTCCTGAAGGACATTCTCTTTGTTTGAATAGACAATAGTTACCATGTGGCCACTCTTGCTCATACCTTGTAGGGGCTCTGAACATTTCAACATACCTGATGGACACTCTCCTTGTTTTAAAAGACAATAGTTACCACGTGGCCACTCTAGCTCATACCTTGTAGGGGCTCTGAACATTTAAACATACCTGATGGGCACTCTTCTTGTTTGAAAAGACAATAGTTACCACGTGGCCACTCTAGCTCACACCTTGTAGGGGCTCTGAACATTTCAACATACCTGGTGGACACCCTTCTTGTTTGAAAAGACAATAGTTACCATGTGGCCACTCTAGCTCATACCTTGTAGGGGCTCTGAACATTTCAACATATCTGATGGACATTCTGTTTGTTTGAATAGACAATAGTTACGTATACTACGTGGCCATTCTAGCTCATACCTTGTACGGGCTCTGAACATTTCAACATACCTGATGAACATCCTCCTTGTTTGAATAGACAATAGTTACCATGTGGCCACTCTAGCTCATACCTTGTAGGGGCTCTGAACATTTCAACATACCTGATGGACACTCTCCTTGTTTCAAAAGACTATAGTTACCATGTGGCCACTCTAGCTCATACCTTGTAGGGGCTCTGAACATTTCAACATACCTGATGGACACTCTCCTTGTTTGAATAGACAATAGTTACCATGTGGCCACTCTAGCTCATACCTTGTAGGTGTAACATCGTACCTTCCACAGAATTTGAGCCTCAAAATGCTTTCATCACCTGAAGGTTAAGCAATTTTTAGGTTTTTAATGTCGATTAAGTTTTTATGCGGAGATTAGTGATGTGTTCATCTTGAGAAGAATAATTGATCCGCAAAACACTAAGTTAAAAAGTAAATAAAAAGGAAGGACCAAATCCCCTGTATTTGTTATTTTCGCAGTATCAAATATGAAAGATGTCAAATCCTACTTGTATCATAATCTCAACAATTCAACATATTTCCATATCAAATCAAAAATGTTACTGATAGCTGTATGTTGCTGATGAAGGCATTTCGACACAAAATTACGAAATTTAAAAACAAATTAATCAAAGACGTATCTCAACAAAATATATTTTTAAACATTTTATCCGAATGTCAATATATAGCTTTACTAAGTACAGAATTTTGGTTTTGAATAAGGATGTCCATGTCATAATCTTTTTGTAAAATACTAAAAATTTGTCAATTTGGGTATAGAAATAAGCCATGCATCCAAGTAAAAAATTGGAGCTGCTACAATGTGAACTTGAGTGAAGATCGAAAGAGCTTATGAAACTGGCCCTGGTGTGAAATGCATTAAATGTAAACTGATCCTTCCTCTTTATTTATCTTTTTTGTCACCAATCAGACTACCAAGTAAATCCTGTCAATGCCATGTTAAAATATAAAAGTTTTATTGGAAAGTATGATAAAGTGGTTTGGAAACCTACTTGTTCAAGCAAAAAAGAACATTGTGGTACAACAAATTCATTGATTGATTGGTGTTTAACGCCTCTTTCACCACTATTGTATTATTTTGTGGCGGTCAGTTTTTATTGGTGGAGAAAGCCGGGGTGCCCGGAGAGAACCACCGACCTTAGGTAGGAAAACTGACAATCCTAGTCAATTACGATCCTAATTGATTGAGTAATTCATCTTGAATTCTCATTAATTAAATTAATTTGTAAAATTGTTTAAAAAAAAAATGATCACATTTTTATATTTTCACTGTCCCTTGGAATGTATTATTTTCTAAGAACATGCAAAACTATTTTGTTTGATGCTTTTAATGTCTTTTAGAAATTTGCTGTCTCATTGATGTAAAATATACTTCTCCGTTTGAGGCAGTTAGAAGATGTTCAATTTAAAACCTCGCTTCATATTTTAAACAATTGAGATGTCATAACTGCGTAAATTATGAACATTTATTTTGCATATGAAAAATCTTTAACCTAAAAACATTAAGAACTGATTTTATAATTTAGATGAAATATATTACAGCCCTTGGATGTATGAATATGTTACGAAAGACTTCATTTAAACATTGATCAGAGAAAGCAAATGATAATATGGTGGAATGTACGAAACGAGGCACATAAAATCATATCGAAGGTGTTATCAGTCCACTAGTAAGCGCAACATGTCTGTGTTGACATATATTATCATCGATATGGTCATAATTATAAATTATATTTACAAAACTTGGATTTTTTCGAAATACTAAGGAAATTCTACGGCAGGAATATGTTACCTTAGCTGTATTTGGCAAAACCTTTTGGAATTTTGGGTTCTAAATGCTATTCAACCTCGTTCTTAATATGGCTTTTTTAAGTTTGTTGATTCGAGCGTAACTGATGAGTTTTGTGTAGACGAAACTCACGTCCGGCGTACATCATTTTGAGCCTTGTATATACGATGAGCTTAATTATCCTGCAATCGACCTTTCTACTATACTAATACAGGTGTACAGATAACACGAAGCAATAAACGTATACTAGACGTATAGTCTCCTGATATCCTGCTTCTGTTGCAAACGAACGGTTATGTCAAATTACTGTTTACATCACAGTTCAATTTGGGGTCCTCATTGCGGTCCGCGTTTAAGTCATGTCGATTTCATTCAGAAACAAATTCAACGATTGGGATGGAAAAAAATGTACAAAATTAATTACAGGATAAAGACAATAACTGTTTGTTGTCTTTAAATATCAGCTGTATTTGTACTCGGTTCGAAACAGGAGTAATAGCTCGCTGAAGCTCGCATTACACCTGTTTCTTAGTCTCGTACAAATACAGCTGATATTTAAAGACACTAAACAGTTATTGTCTATATAATGAAAAAATGTTTTGCAGAACAACCAATAACTAAAAACGGTACATATGAAATGCAACTTAAACAACAGAAAAAGCATATCATTTTATATCTAAAATGTCAAATATAAGTATTCAAGGAATTGCAAAACCCCCCATAAAAGAAAAAAATGCAAACCTGATTACAGCAGGTTTAATCATCTTAAGAAGTTTTTTCTAAAGAATATACATAATTTTATAAAATAAATACCTGAAAAATGATTCAGATCTGAAAACTCGTTTTTTGAGTTACTTTTTTCAGTGGCCCATGTCACATATCCCTTTCTGTTGACTCCTCTAGGACAGATGAGGGAATTGTCTTCGTTAACCTCTACTAATGCATACGTTCCTCTCGGCCATTCTGAGTTTACTGCTAAATTACCTGAATAAAAGTATAACAGATGTCTCAATATAGCTATATATTAGCACTGAATAAGATAATGGAATCTACAAACTATTCATTGACTAACATAATGTAAATAATTCAATTCAAAAAGCATAATAGGCAGATCGTTGTATCCTTTTCGTTATTTGCAAATAATAAAGTGTTACGAGTTATACTCTTTTTAGTTATTGCTGGGTCTATTAATTGAGAAATTAAATAAATCAAAATGGATACAAACATACAACAACATACTCATCATCGACAAAAACAAAACCATCAAAATATAAAACAAAATAAAAATATATTATGACAAAAAGTCTGTATGTAAAGACCTGAGAAAAAGGTTAATTTTGTCACATTATTGTGTAATGTTAAGAAATGTTAATTAAAGTAATTGTTTTTTAAGTTACACAATGATCGATGCTATGTTATCTAAGAAGTCGGAATTGAAATTACTAGCATTGATTTTGTTTTTAATCAGTCAAATCATTACTAGATATATATCGTCATACAGTTTATACACATATGAACCTATATCATGTCGGTACTAATATTTTGGAATTGCAAAAGATCTTGATTTTGGTAGACAGTTTATGATATCTCTATCCTGAATTTGTTATAGTTTTACTGATTTTACGTTAAATTCGGCCATATTTTTTGTGTGCATGTCCTACACAGCCAAATTTTGCTCACGTGAATTTCACGTGAATCTCATTTCACGTGAATTTCACATGAATTTCACATGAATTTCACATGAATTTCACGTTAATTTCACGTGAAGTGATTTCACGTGAAATTCACGTTAAATTTTCACGTGAAATTATTTCACGTGAATTTCACGTAAAACATTTCATGTGAATTTCACGTGAAAAAATATAAATGGTGTCTAAGTTAAAAAAAAATGACCGAAAATCAAACATTTTGTCAACCTCTAATATCTTGTATTATATGTATCATATATTCCATGGAAATCTTAATTTAATTTGAAAAATTCTATTTTCACGTGAAATTCACGTGAATATTTCACGTGAAATTCATGTGAGTATTTCACGTGAAATTCACGTGAATATTTCACGTTAAATTCATGTGAATATTTCATGATATATTCACATGAAAAATTTCACGTTAAATTCACGTGAACAATTTCACATGAAATTAACATGAATCAAAACTCATGTGAAAATGTTATGTTTCATTTTATCTGAATTAAACCATGAATTCATAAGAGAAATTTAACTTTATTGAGTTAAATTTTTGTAACATGAGAAACAAATTCACCTGAATTTTGCTATTATTCATTCCAATTTTCTTTTTGCAAAATTGAATCATTTTAAAAACTGTTATTCTTTGTCTCTCAAGATTTACACATTTGGACATACAATCATTGTAAATGATAAATATTTATCTTTTTGTTAAGCATGAATTATCTCCCTTGATAGTGGGTTAGATGCAACTACAAAAACATGTTGGTTTTGAATTATATTTTCTATCACTGTTTATATTTATCTCTAGTAGAGTCATTAGGATGGAATTTTGTATACATGTGTATCTCTTATTTCAAATTCCTAGATGCCTATATTATATTGATGGACTAATTTGATTTACTAGTAATATTTCTATAATTATTAAGTAGTAAATTTAATTACTTTCACACATCTTATGTCTTCTTTACTTTTATACTTTTAAAAAATGTGGGAGGTAACTCCAACTTATGAAATAGATTACTGTTACTGTAATAGATTCTTTACTTCCCATTATTGCAAAGAAAAAAAGGATAATATATATCATATATATATCATTTACTTCCAAACATGAGTTATCTCCCTTTTTTACTGTGCATAAAACTTTTCAAGAAAATTTGTGAGCATTGAATCGCACATAAGTTTAACATTATGACATATATGAATAAAAACTAGTAAGAATACAGAAAAGAATTTTATATGTACTAAATTTTGTCAATAAATGTAAATTTGAATGTTTATCAATTTTTTAAGTATATTGAAAGTGCAGTATAAAATTTTTTGTATTGCTTTTTATAACATGACATCTATACAAGAAGCAAATTTTGTTTATAATCTTTGAAATTGAAAGATTGCATGATCAATTGTTGCACTGGGACACATTTTAAAATTACAAAACAATTTTACGTCCCTGTATTCTTAGATTAATGTTTTTATTCAGAAAAAATGAATGGTTACATCAAGGAATTGTATATTTAAATATACAATTCCTTGGTTACATTTACACTTTATTATTAAAAAAAACTTACATTCTTTAAGCTTTAATAAATGTGTGGTAAATGATTGCCAATTAGACAAGGCTTGCTCATTGAATTAAGGTTAAACATTTTACTTTTGTATAGATATATATATATATTCTTTTACACAATGAAATCACAGTCATAATTGAAATTATATTTATTATATTTTATCTGGGACTATTATACTAAGTTAGTATAATAGTCCCAGATTTTATAAATATATATATTAAATAGTTGTAAGGGTTTAATTAACTAACAGCTCCATGTGGAGGTGCTCCTATGTAAAGGATGCTTATTAACAAAATAATTTGTTATATGTTCCAAGGATTTGTATAGTAGGAATGGGGGAACTAGCAGGTACCTATTTTTCACTTTTCACATGGAGAAATACTTTGAACATCAGATCAGGACAATATCCGTGAATCTCTCGTCCGGAGTCGGGTTTTTTAAAACGCTTGAAAGATACAGATTATGACGCGTCTTAAAGAGAAGAACGCCGTCAGCCGATTGTCAACAACAGTACTTGTTTCAGTTAATTTAACAAGACAAACAATACCAAGGAGCTATGAATCAATGAATACTCGAGGATGTACTACAGGTAACTCAAACAAATGATTTAATAGTGCAGGAATAAACAGAAATCTGCAATGACTGAATGAGAATGGTTTTCATCTTCGATTTTGGTATCGTTTTCGTTCGCTCCCAAATAATTTTTATACACGTTCGCCCCATAGGACCTAACGCATCTAATTTCAAATTCCAGTTGAATTGTAAGTTATTTTATTATTTGTATACAGTAACGTAGCTTGTTTTCTGTTATTCACGAAGTCAAGGGGTCTTAAGCTATCGATTTTTTTTAACAATTTGAACAAACTAAAGTTAAACTACCAACTTATTAGTTCATTACCTGCTTATAATTTTTCAATGTTCATATGGATACTTAAATCTTTTAAGACGCATTCATGATTTAGTTTCTCATATCGAATTCTTTAAGTGTCGCAACTTCCCAGATAATGGCAGATCAAAAAATATTTATGAATAATGGAGATGGATATGTCAAATTCTGACTGAGTCTTATACAGTATAAATTTGTCACTTCTTTTTTTATTTGTGTATGATTCAAATCATACGTATTACTATCTTATCTATGATTAACTCAAAAGTTATATATTATAGATAACAAACACTTGGCTGACTTGCAGTTATCACATACATGACACAAGACAATCACTGACAAGTTTCCGGACTTGCTAGCAGTAACTGAAAGCCAGATCAAATACAATGTACCTAATCTGTTGTACAAAATGTACACTCTAATACTGGTCACGTGGCTGTACCTCACTTTGACATTAGATTTAACGTCATATCAGAAGCAACACAATTGACTTGAATTGTGTCAATTTTTTTTATTCCAGCATATTTAGATTACAGAAAACTACAAATGGTATAAATCAATAATGACACACAAAACGATACAGTATAAAAAAGAAGATGTGGAATGATTGCCAATGAGAATGCTACAGGTCACTGTACAGCATGGCCAACTATTATCCTCAGTGTAAGCCAGTACAAGTTATCGCGCATGATTTTAATTTCTTATCCGTCTGATCAGTCTTTTCTGTGTGTGATATCTTATCAAGACAACATGCTGAGTTTGTAAAGACAATGTTGACACTCGTTAATAATTTGACAACACTAAGTAAACAATATTATAACCATATGACATTGTAGCATGCTAGGTTCCACATGAATACGAGTTGTATAAACTGACTTTATTTCCAAAAGATAAAATTCTATTTTACCGAATATCAAACATACAAAATAAAAAGTCGAAAAAGGACAAATACGAGATTATGATAACCAAACATATATACATGTATATATATCTATCATTAAATCGTTGGCTAGTTATAGTTTATAAAAGCACTTACATAAAATTAAAATTGTTCTTTAACAATTTCAAAAGCAAGAGGGTTGTAATTGTGAGGTTATATTATATTAGATATAATATTCTTGATTTCAGTAACATCATTTTTAGAGAAGTATGCAATGAGTTGACAATCAAAATATGGATAGATGTAATTCATGTAATAACAAAATACATAATCGAAAAATGATTCACTATAGTCATCAATAGAAATGTTCACACGATGTTGTTCGATTTTGATATATCTTAAACCTTTCTTTCGACGTAAATCCGAATATGAGACAACGTAGATTTTTATCTTGTTTTACATAAAGAAAGTCCCACAGAAAAAGTGTATACAATAATGTTCAGAGTATAATATAAAAAGGGGGGGGGGGGGGGAGTACCCTGCCCAGATAATAATATAACTGATATGTAAAGGAAAGTTTTAACCACAGATTTGAACTTGACAATTTTATCTGAAATTCACACCAGGTGACCAAATACATGTTGAAATTTGTGAACTTCACACGGATATCTTTAGAAAACATGCTAATCGAAACAACAGGGGTCGCAGGCATCTGTTTTCAAGTATAATTCTGAATTTTAACGATTCCAATTATCTTATTCATTTGATAAATTAAAAATTTCAAATTCTGCAAATACATGTACAAAAAATGTACAATATACATTTTTTTTTTTTATAAATTTTGTAAATGTAAGAAGATGTGGTATGAGTGCCAATGAGACAGCTCTCCGTAAACTTTACATTAACAGAAAAATAATTTAAATAAGTTTCCTTTTTAATAAATATTTTACATAAATGTTCAATTGCAAAATTAAAATTTTTTTCATGATAGAATCTTTTGAAAGGACGGAGACAAATTAAAAATAATATTTATTTTGTTCAATGCGATTTATTTTTCTAAAAGTTAAGTGTATAAAAGGAGAATGTGCATCAAACAAGCAATAGACTAGTAAATTCACATGTACATGTATGTATCTAAAATTTTGTTTCTTAAGGTAGATAGGGTGTCTTCCTCCATCTTGAATTTTGAAATACCAGAAAACAATCGGTCTAGATCTTTAATAAAAGGTGCAAATTTTGAGAGTAGTAGGTAATTCATGTGTAAGAATTTTCATTTCAATATAGAAAATGACCTATTTTATCATATTTATTGTTGTATTTTACAAAAAAACAGAATACTTTTGTTTGATTCTATTTTTTCCAACTTTGCCATATAAGGGGAGGCAACTCAAATGTAAGGGCAGATAATTCAGATAAAGTTACCTTTACAATAGAATGTGTTAGGAATTTACCTATTTTATTATGTAGCAAGAAAACGGGTCCCATGACCCCATTTTTTATTTTTCTTATCTGAAAGCATACTATTAGAGCTATCTTCACATATTTTATCTCAAAATTCTATGGTGTAGTTTTCGTTTTATGGCAGAAAATTGGGTTTTCCATGCATAATCATTACAAAATCTGTCAATTTTGCACAACCTGTAGCGTGAAAATAAGCCCCGTGTCCCATTCTTTTTATTATTTTTTTTTAAAAAGCATGATATAAACTACATTTTGGCAAATTATTAAAAAAATTCTATGGATTATAATTTAGACACCCCATCTTCCTTAAACTGTTAAAATATTTTAGTTCAATTTATTTCAATTTTAAGCGATTGTCGTTTTGTAATCTTTAAATTAGCATTACTACATACAAATATTTTCGTATATAGTCCACACTGGCACATATGCTGCCCTTGTCTTATTCTTTTAAGACTTTGGCAATTGGTTTATCTTGGAGAATATTTTTTTTTTCTCATTTGAAACTTTTGTGCATTGAAATTTACAATTTATAAAGTAAACTTGAAAAGAAAGAGGCTATTAAACATTGTTAAACCGTCAAAGAAAAAAAAAACACAAACAACTCATGTCTACTGAGAATAACAGAAGTTATCACATTGTCATGTGTTAATTATTTATCCATGAATATTATATTTACCTGGTTTGACTTAGATTATTTCTGGTCAACTTCAAAAAATGATCGCATCTCGATTTTTGAATAAAAAAGGCCCTGATTCAAAAAAAATTGTAAAATATGAAATTTATATCGTTGGATAGATTTAAAACCAGAGAATAAATATACATGCGAATGAAGCTGTTTCTAATAAAGATTTTATGTCAATTCATTAAAGAAAACCCATGTGCACACATTTTTGGTTTCGTATTGTATGAAGTACAATGTAATAGGTCGTGCACCCGGTGTTCTTTAATTGAAAAAGGCCCTAACTTCTGCAATCCTTATCAAAATACAAATTAGATCTGTAGAAAGCTTATAAATTGAAGTTTCAAAATTGATGCCAATGAAAAAGAAATTTAATGATATTTACAGACAGCTAATCAAAATTTAAGATTTCCTTTAACAATCTATAGTAAATTTATCGATATCGATTGTGGTCAAATTTGACGCATGCGCAAATCGGGTGCTGATAATAGTTGTGTATGGCCTTCAACAATGAGCAAAGCCCATACCACAAACCCAGCTATAAAAGGCCCCAAAATCACAAATGTTAAACATTCAAACAAGAAAACTAATGGCATAATTAATGTATAAAAAATGAACGCTAAAAACAAATATATATGTAACAAAGCAACAAAGGACAACCACTGAATTAATATTACAGGCTCCTGACTTGGGACCGGCACATATATACAGAATGTGGCGGGGTTAAACATGTTAGGGGAATCCAAACCCTCGCCCTTATATATAGAATAGAATAGAATATTTTTATTCACCAAATAAGGGCCCCAGAAGGGCATATAGCAAACAAACAATATTATTATAAACAATAATATTTAGATATGTATACATTATGACAAGTTCACAGATCAAGTTCAATATATATCATGTATATTCTGTTCAGAAAAAATAACTTAAGTTGTTTTAATTTTGCAGAGCTACATTCACGCAAACAAACAGTTTTTCACTTTCATTTTTATACTACCGCAAAAAATTAAAAAAATTTTGCGGTCATATATTGGTATGAAGTTGGCGTCGTCGTCTTCGTCCGAAGACACATTGGTTTTCGCACAATAACTTTAGTTCAAGTGAATGGATCTCTATGAAATTTTACCATAAGGTTTGATACCACAAAAGGAAGGTTGGGATTGATTTTGGGGGTTATGGTACCAACAGTTAAGGAATTAGGGGCCAAAAATAAGCATTTTTGTAACTTCCAGACAATAACTTGTGTGTTAGTGTATGGATCTCTCTGACATTGTACCACAAGGTTCCATATCACAAAGGGAATGCTGGGATTGATTTTGGGGTTAATTGCCTCAAAATTTTAGGCGAGTCCCCTGGGGTCACCCCCACCCCCTTCTTTTTGAAAACTTGTAAAGGGTCAAGATCTCCGAAACCATATATATTCTTGTATGGGACAATAAAACAAATCAAATGAAATCCATGGGGTATAAGGCGAGTCCCTTTGGGTCACCCCCACCCCCTCCTGTTTAAGAACTTGTAAACGGTCGAGCTTTTCATTATTAATAAGATAATACCACATTGAGGTCCAAAGGGTCCTAAATTAAACTTTTGTTTAATTTCATCAAAAATTGAATTCTTTGGTTCTTTGATATGCTGATTCTAACAATGTTTGAGTGTTAAATCATATCTAATTTTAGAGAACTTATATTAATTAGTCATCACTGGTTGTTGTTATTATATTATTGATTATAATTTGAAAAAATGCATCATATCTTATTTTAGAGAACTATTTATCCAGTTTGAGTTATTTCCATTTGCACAGAAAATATTATGGATAAAATTAACCAGTGTTTCATTTCAACATAAATTAAATATATATATAGGGTTCTTTCAAATGCTGAATTTAAACTCTATTTAGATATTAGATTTTTAGGCCCAGTTTTCAAGTTGGTCCAAATCAGGGTCCAAAGGGTCCTAGATTAAACTTTTGTCTGATTTCATCAAAAATTGAATTCTTGGGGTTCTTTGATATGCTGATTCTAATATGTACTTAGATTTTGGATATTGGACCATAATAGGTATTTAAATGTCCAATTTCAAATATATCAGTTCTTTGACTACATTCATTTTGTGTCACAAACCTATGATGTGTCAAATATTCAATCACAATCCAAATTCAGAGCTGTTTTAAGTTTAAATGTAGTGTCCATACTTGCTCAACTGTTCAGTGTTCGACCTCTGCAGGAAAATCCGGTTTGCTGTCTCTCTGACAGCCTCTTGTTCAAATTAGTCTACATTAGGGTCCAAAGCTATATTTGGGGTAGGCAATGATTGTAAGGTGCACATGTCTGTCTGGCTTGGTTTTTCTGACCTTGGCATTATTTGCTTGACAGTATTTTTTTCATGGATCATTGGTTATGTTAAGTTTATATATCATACTTATAGTAAAATTAAATCTTTAGCATGTTTAGAACAATCAACATAAAATATATCATGAATAGTAAAACATGCAAGACATTTCAGCGTGTTTACTCGTCTCTTGTGATATCTATTTTATATAAATTTATACTGAGTGCCAATAAAAACACAATTCTGGTCCCCTTACACATGCTACAGCACATGTAGTTATTCCCAGCAACAGTCGAGGGGGAATAATATCAATTTACCCCTGTCCGTCCGGATGAGGATACTTTGTTTGTCTGGCTATCTCCTCCTACAGTTTTGGAGGTACAACTTGTTAACATGGCAAAGTTCAACCATAATGAACCGCCACACCTCCGTTGCAGAGGTAATTAAAAAATGTACAGTCTGCTAGATTATCAATTTTCAGAGCATTTGGAGTTTTGATTTATACCCCTATGGAAGCTAATCACAAATTTCTTAACTGGAAAAGTATCAGGTAACCAGATGTTTCCAGAATGCATAGAGCCATAAACATACTGTGTTAGTATTGTAATTTAAATGGGGCTAAGACATGTAAGAAGGGGGCTTGAAAATGATGAGTTGTGTTTCTATAGGCACTAAGTATACTTATATATACAGGTAATGTGGTTTGTTTTCATAAGTAATTTATTATAAAATTTGACATGGTATGATTGCCAATGAGACAACTATCCACCAGAGTCCAAATGACTGAATATTGACAACTGTAAATGATCATATGTACAGCTTTCAACAATGAGCAAAACTGATACAGCATAGCGAGCTACAAAATGTCCTGAAACAGGGTTGGCAAAAACCTGGGTTTTATGAGTATTGCCCAGCCCAGTGGGAATTACTGGGTTTTACTGGGTAAATCACCATCAAATCACCAATGATCATGTCTGAGCTTAAAATACAAAACAGTTATCTCCTAATTATAAGTTTGGTAATCATTGGAGATTAAATTGGTGTTATCTTTTTTGCTTGACTACAGAAACAAACATGCTGATTTTATTATATTACAGGAACTGTAGGAAGTATTCAAAGAGTCTGATTGCTAAGTATGCATTACAGGATTTTATCATTGGAGCAACATCTTAGGAGGAGAAGTGCAAATGTATGAAGGAATCCTTGGGTACAAATAGCAATTATATGCAGAAGAGGACTCTTAAACATTATTAACAGACATGTAGTCATAGTAGTGGTGTTTTCAAGAAACGTAAACCAACTGGAATTAACAATTGTGTATATTTTTTCAACCACAAGTACTTTCAGAATATAATACAATTCAAATTCAAATTATTGTGTCAACATACAAGTTACAGTAAAAAAATGAAAATGCATGTTTTAAAATGAATTTTATATAAAAAAATGAAATAACAAGAATTTTTAGCTTATTGTGCAGCCAAACTTTGAGATCTTTTAATGGTATATGCCTGTTGTTTGTCAACATTTTGCCTTAACCTTAAGATCAGTGTTAAAATGAGAAAAAAACTATTTTTGCATATATGAAATAAGAAGTAAATGGTTGTAAATTACAGAGAGCCTTTCAATATGGTACATTTGTATATCAGCTATATTTCACAGAACTTTCTATTTTAGTTTATTAGTACAATGAGACATGAGGTATACATCAATCAGCCAGCAATATAACAACAAAAACACCTGAAAGGCATTAAGGTGCTAACATGCAGTCCTCAACAAAAGACAGGTGTCTAAAAGATATGCCATGATCTATTTAATTGACCAGAGGCTATAAAAAAAATTACAATATGAATCAAGAATAGCCATCAACACCAAAGTCTCTGAATATTTTTTTTTTATTAAGACGAGATTTTTGACAACCACTGAAAAGATTTCTGGCTTTAAGCAGGTACATGAATAAGTGGCTAGGTGAACTAGTTTTTTTTCTTCAAAACCTTCTTAAAGAGAATTGGCATCTTTTGCAAGTAAGTCTTTTCCATAATGTGATTGGTTTGTGTCAAAACTGATGACCACACAATATGACTTATACAAACATAATAAAAATCAACTCAGATGAAATATACATCAGTGCAATCAACTTCTATAAATGACCACAGTCCATAAATCATTTACAAAAAAGGATTGAGACTCAACACAACCAAAAAAGTTCTAGGAGTGAACTAAGGTGCCCTGGATATAATTTATATCCTGTGATGCATTTGCTTGCCTTCTTTGTTTAAGACCAAAATATTTTGGAAACAAAGAAAGTAAAACAGAATGGAAGTATGAACACATGGTCCAGACCAAGAATAATATTTTTCATGTTTATATATATATCAAAACAGAATTTGTATTAGATTAGAATTGACTTACATAAATAAGCTCAAATCCTGTGAAATTAGTGTGATTGAGGCTGAATTCACTTTAATTTCATTAAAAAAAAGAAGCTCGATTCATGTTAATTTCACGTGAAAAGTTCACGTGAATTTCACGTGAAGGCTCAATTCACGTGAATTTCACATGAAAAATTTCACGTGAATTTCACGTGAATCAGTATTTCACGTGAAAATCACGTGAGTTTAACGTGAAATTCACGTGAAATATTTCACGTGAATTACGCGTATAAGCTCAATTAACGTGAAATTCACGTGAATTTTTTCACGTGAAATTCACGTTAATTTCACATTAAATTCACGTGAACAAAATTTGCCTGTGTAAGTCATGAACTTTTAGTTCATTGGTTTCGTTTATTACTGTTTAAGCATTCATCAGGCAACCGATTTTTTTATATTATTATTTCACATTGTGCACTGGGCCTTTAAAAGCGTATTATATGGTAAAATCACCTATGATAGGTTTTGCTCATTAATATTGCACCCGTACGAACTGAGTGGCCCCAATCGACGAGTTTTTTGGGGCGTTTGTCTATAGTTTCTTTTTTGATTGTTTGTCTTTTCGTTTCTAGTCATCACGTTGCGTCAGCTTCTCATCGACTTATGAGTTTTGAATGTCCCTTTGGTATCTTCAGTCTCATTTTCCATTTGTCTCCATTTACGGTTCTAGGTGTCTTCAATAAATATGTCTTCTAATCGATCGAATAATACAACAGCCATTGTCAGTAGGACGGTCAAAAGTGTCTCTAAAGACGGTTCCAGTTGTATTCCATTGTCTTAAACTCGGGCGTGTCTAGTTTTTAAAATATTACGGAATATGATTTGAAACTGCGTATTTTTTAGGAAATATTTCCCATATACTTTGAAAAGAATTGCGGTTTAATCTTTATTTCTATGAAAATTGTAGAAAGATTGTAAATTAGTGTTTAGAAGATCCTGTTAATTTTAACGTTTTTCTCTTGCAGTATGGAAATGAACAATTATTGTCCTTTGTTTCGGTAAATATGTCGATTAATTGACTTTTTCGAAAATGACCTTACGACCAAATTGTCAAATTAAAACATTTACATAATTTACATCATCTTAACATAGTTTACTTTTTAACGGAGTTATCATGCCATACAGCAAATCGTTTTGCGCTTGAATTATAAGTGGTCTTTTTGACAATACATCATCGATGCTGGTATTATCACTGCAGATATTCCGTAGGATCAAGTTATTCATGTTGCTCCAAAATTTCTTCTGAAATATGGTATCGATACTCATCATCCGTAATCCTATAGGTTCTGGTTTGTCCTTAGAGCCAACAATAAGTGTGACAGTTTCATTACCAAGACTGCTTTTATAATAGGGACTGCTGGCAAAAACGTCAAATTTAACCACCCTTGTATAGTCTTTTTCCATGATTGATTCTGGAACCTACAAAAATCATGAAATGTATTTCATAACTTTTTTTATCGTGTGTATTAGATAACTGTATGCGAAATAAACGGTTAAGCATTGTCTTGAAATAACATGACTAAAACACAAGGGATTTCTCATTGTTTAAAGATTGGAAAATGTTGTAAATAAAGACGACGTCAAAAAAAAAAAAAAAAAGGAAAACAACACTTCATAAATGTTTAGTATCCGAAGCGCTTTTCTGGATTTACCTTCATCAAGAATGCTCTAAGCCGAATACTTGAAAGCCAAGGATGTATTAGAGCCGAAACAGTTGACGAGCTATATTTCGTAAAAGTACCTACAATAGCCAATTTCATCTGAGATAAACTTTGCCTGAGGGAGTTGACCCTAAGTTTAGTTATAAATACTTAATGTATAAACAGATAATGTAAGAAAGGTTCGTTATGAATCTGAAGCACTGACAACTGAGCAGATGATACCCTCGTTGACTGATAGTCCAACAGCAACGGTGTCGACCCAGTGCTGTAAAAATGAGAACATCACTCTGTTTGTTTTGCCCACACATTGCTGTCAATATAATGGAATGCTATATAACTGTCATACAAGTGAGAGGTTTAGCTAGCTATAAAACCAGGTTTAATCCTTCATTTTCTAAATAAGGACCTACATGCACCAAGTCAGGAATATAACAGTTGTTTTCCATTCGTTTGATGTTTTTGAGCTGTTGATTTTGCCATTTGATAAGGGACTTTCCGCTTTAAATTTTCCTTGGAGTTCGGTATTTTTGTTATTTTATTTTTTTTTGTTAAAAATCTCGTTAATCGATTTGAACCAGCTAAGAAACAAAAACCAAGAAATGGCAAAATTAGATAAAAAAAAAAATCAAATAACAAAAAATGCTGGAAAAAAAAGAAAGAAAAATGTCTTATAAAATTTGAAACGCTTAAAATATATTTGTTTTCTAAATTTCAGCTCTGATTTAATCACATATATCTATAAGACATGCCCATAGTTTTTCCCTTTTTGAATGCTAGAATTTAGACGTTTTTTTTTACTGATAGGACTAAGTTATATAATAACATTAGCACTATCAAATTTATTGCATCAGATTCGCATTTTGATAATAAATGCTTCTTCAGTGATGCTCGTGATCAAAATATTTGAAATCCAAAACTTATTCAAATATAAAAATAAGGGGCTGCTAAATCCAAAAAGACAAAAAGTATAGCCAAAGCCTGACAAGGAATCACAGAGGAGATATATCTCTTAATTTAAAAGAATTTCATATAGTTCTTTCTTGAATACAAATTATATCGTTGTTGTGAAATCATTTATTATTTATTTGTTTATTTGCTCATCGAAACACGACTAGATTTTTCCTTATCTTGCTTTACTATAAAGCATGTCTCTGTAATAAATACTTAGTGCACTTCATTAGATAGTGATTTTGCGATGTTTAAAAATAAAATTTGGTAATGAAACGGTAAAAAATATGTAAAGCATATGGTATAAGACATTGTCGTTCTTTGTTTTTAATAATCCAGTGTTCATTGCTAGCTTCAAGTGATTAATAGTAAGTAGTGGATACCGACAAACTATATCAAAGAAGAAAATCGAAGCCCACAGAACCATACACGAATAGGATAATAAAAAATGACTGGTGTTCGAAAAAAAAACATATTTACATATTTAAGTAAAGTAAACATACAAATGACAGCATGCTGTCATTAAGAACTTCTTTCAAACGTGGACGTGATGTCACCAAAAGATTAAGCATCATCTGATTAGCTTGCGGCATCCGTCGTATTAAATAATGGGTAAAGCCAACATTTAGTTTTATGTGTTCTATTTGTGTCTTGGGGCGATTAACTATGCTCTGTATACATTTGGTACAATTCATAGAGATCTGTTTCATTTAGATAACAAGAGTAAATAAGGAAGTATATAACAAAACTTTTTTTCACTATATATATACTGATAATGCTTGGCATACGTTTTTCGAACTTTGATGATTAATTCTGATTTCTGTTACTGCAGTCTGATTAAGCTGTTTTGTTTATTTGAAGATTATTCATTTGATGTTTTTTTATATTAAATTTCTTTTGTGTTAATTTCAATGAACCTGTTTTATACAAAAGATTTAAGAAATATGCAGTATTTCATTAAGCCATTACAGCATTGATTATACATTCCGTAATGCAGGCGTCACACTGTCCCGAAGTTGACACGAGATGGACACACGGTAAAAGAATTTGGGTGTGATTGTAAAAACATCGGGTCATTCGTGAGGGCATCTTAAGCCATCGTATGACCGCTGGTTGAATTTTCAGGCTCCGGCAACAAGTTCGTGAGCGGTGACATAATCTTTGGCCTGCCAAAACATTTCCGAAAGACCTTGCGAAAGTTCATTCTCGTGTTGAATTCGTATGTTCATTTTGCCCTTCGTAAAGCCACCGTGAGGGCATCTTGGCAAATTGTGTCATCTTCATCTTTACTTCGTGTGAACATCGGTGCCATTTTTCGTCTCACGAAGACAATACATAGGACACGATTGTCCTGAGAAGGCCACACGACTACGTGAAGCTCTCGCAATGCCGTCGTGTAGCCATCGTGTTATAGTACGATGACATCGAGATGGGACCACGGTGTTGGCGAAGACAGCCCAACTTGAGTAGCTCAAGTGTTTCACATATGTCCTGGTTACGTGGACATATAAAAGCTAGTGTCAGAGCATCTTCCTCAGACATTCCTGGGCAACTCTACAGAACAGAGGCTTGTGTAACTCCAAAAGGTTCAATCACAATAAATCACAATTAAGTTTCTGCAGAATGGTTTACTTTGATGAGGAGACATTAGTGGAAAGAGAAAGCAGCAGCATTTCCTCTTTTGATGCATCTCAGAAAAAATGATGAGCAACTCTAACATGCCCAGCAACTCCTCCTACAAGTATAAATTGTCTTATTTCATATTGTCATACCTTGCTATTTGCCTTTTTCCGAGGTCTATGTGAGATAAAAAAATTGCTGCCTGACAAAAGAAGAGAACACTATGGCCACTATAGCGCTCTACTCTAAGAAGCAGAAAATGAGAAGAATTCTACAACTACACAAGACTTCCCAGAGGCGTCTACGATGGGGTACCACAAGGGGCATAAGGCAGAATAGAGAATAAGGACACGTGGTACAGAAAGGTTCTCCCTCTTTGTCTCAAGCTGTCCATATCTCTACGACACCTGGCCTGGGGTGACAATTATCTAAGCCTGAACTTCAATTTCAGAGTTGCTCCCAACATAATCTCCTTTATCATCAATGATGCCTGCGATGCCACCATAGCCGAGTTTGCTATTGAAAGAATCTAGTGTCCTACTACAACTGAAGGGTGGACCGTTATTGCTGATCAGCTTGAGAAGAAAAGAAAATTTCCACAATGCTGTGGTGTTCTGGATGGCAAGCATGTGGCGGCCATCTATCCTTGGAATGTTGACTTTATGTACATAAACTTCAAGGGCTTCTTCTCCATCGTTCCCGTGAATCTGGTTGACGCAGACAACAAGTGTCTATGGATTGATGTCGGCTCTGATTGTTCCAGCAATGATGCCAGTGCCTACAATGGTTCAGAACTGAAGGAAGGCCTAGAAAGTTCGAACAACATATTCTATCTCATTGAGAGAAGTCTCTACCGGGTAATGAAGTTTCTGTCCCATACTTCATAGTAAGGGACAATGATTTTGGTGTCAACAAGCGCCTGATGCACCCGTTTTCCATCATAAGTGGAGCACCATGAGAATATGTAATTATAGACGCTGCAGAGCCCGGCGTGTATTGGAGAAAGCCTTTGGTATTCTGACACACATGTACAAGTTCCGGATTTTGCTCAGGACCATGAATCAGAGGCCAGAGACATGCAGAAAAATCATCACAACTTGTGTAAGCCTTCACAATCGCACCAGACTGAGATATCAAGCCACCCAAAACAACCTGATGGAATTGGAGGACCAGAACCAGAGTGTCATCACAGGGACATGGAGAAATAACAAAGTATAACTGGATGTTTACCATGAGAGGGCAAGGAACACTGAAATCCAGGAGGGGAGGCAAATTAGAATTTACCTGGTTCACTACATTCCCTCAAAGGCTTGTTCGATGCAATGGCAAGACAAGGTGATACAGTAACTATACCCACAAGTGACAGTAAAATCAATACATAGAAACTAACATTGTGATGATGAACAAATTATGTTCACATATTGCATTGTAACTTGTATACGGAGTATTTCTGAAATTTTGATTGAAAATTACTTTGATATAAAAATTAATAAAATAACTTGTAGATGAAGAACTGGATATTCCATCACTGAATTGGATACCAAAACTACATAAGTGTCCTTACAAACAACGGTATATTGCTGTGTCTTCCAAGTGCTCCACGAAACCTCTTTCTAAATTATTAACATCTATTTTATCAGCAATCAAAGAATGGCTCCAAAGTTATTGTGAAACTGCCTATTCTGGAGGTGGCGTGAATCAGATGTGGATACTAAAAAAAATCAAAAGATCTTTTAGAGTACATACAATCTAAGACTCTCTCATCTTGCAAAAGTATTAAAACATTTGACTTTTCTACACTTTACACAAGTATTCCCCATTCCAAACTAAAAGACAAATTGAAAGAGTTCGTATTACTTTGTTTCATTAAAAAGAATGGCGAACGTAGATACAAGTATCTTGTCCTGGGGAAGGATAAATACTACTTTGTAAAGAATCACTCTGATTCAAACAAAAAATTATCTGAAACTGACATTACCAAGATGCTTGATTTCTTGATTGACAACATATTTGTTACGTTTGGAGGACGTGTTTTTCAACAGACTGTCGGAATTCCAATGGGAACCAATTGTGCCCCTCTTCTTGCCGACTTGTTTATTTTTTATTATGAGGCTGACTTCATACAGGAACTTCTTAGGAAGAAAGATAAGAAGTTAGCAATATCCTTTAACTTTACGTTCCGCTATATAGATTATGTTCTCTCACTAAATAATACAAAATTTGGTGACTATGTTGAACGAAGCTATCCCATCGAACTACAGATAAAGGATACTACAGATACAGTTAAGGCTGCCTCATATCTTGACTTACATCTAGAAATTGACAATGAGGGTCGGTTGAAAACAAAACTTTACGACAAAAGAGATGATTTCAGCTTCCCAATTGTGAACTTTCCATTTCTATGTAGCAACATTCCAGCAGCGCCTGCATACGGAGTATATATCTCCCAATTGATATGATATTCCCGGGCTTGTATTTCCTATCATGATTTCCTTGATAGAGGATTGCTGCTCACAAGGAAGCTATTAAACCAAGAGTTCCAAATGGTGAAGTTGAAATCATCCCTTCGTAAATTTTACGGACGCCATCACGAGTTGTTTGACCGTTATGGAATAACCGTTTCACAGATGATATCGGATATGTTCCTTATGTCGTAACTACAATACCCTTCCCTTTTCACGAATGTGACCTACCGAATTAGACTATTTACCGGATTTGTAATAACATAAGCAACACGACGGGTGCCACATATGGAGCAGGATCTGCTTTCCCTTCCGGAGCACCTGAGATCACCCCCAGTTTTTGTTGGAGTTCGTGTTGCTTAGTCTTTAGTTTTCTATGTTCTGTCATCTGTACTATTATTTGTCTGTTTGTCTTTTTATTTTTGACCATGGCGTTGTCAGTTTGTTTTCGATCTATGAGTTTGACTGTCCCTCTTGAATTAAAAAATTTCCCACGGTCAGAGGGGCCTCGGTGGCCGAGTGGTCTAAGTAGTTACTACTGTAATCACTAGCCAGTCAACACTGAGGTTGTGAGTTCGAACCCCGCTCGTGCGGGTGGACTCGACTCCAATCTTAATTGACTAGGATTGTCAGTTTTCCTATCGAAGGTCGGTGGTTTTCTCCGGGCACTCCGGCTTCCTCCACCAATAAAAACTGGCCGCCACGAAATAGTCCAAAAGCGGTGCATAAAAGTGGCGTTAAAACACCAAAAATCTAAATCAAATCCCACGGTCAGACGAAGGTTTTATACCATCATGAGGTCTCGTGACGCCTTCATGACCAAGTTCGAACGCATCGTACTCTCAATACGACATCGTATAGCCATTGTGTTGCCCTCGTGTGCCCTGCGTATTAACATCGTAATAAAAATTCACATCTTTGTGTTGCGTTGGTGTATAATTCGGTGACATCGTGTGACCTACTATAGGCATCGTAGTTGATTATTTACTGTTGACCAAGTTCGAGACCATATTCGCCCGAAATTCAGCTTTTTATATTCGTATGGCCATCTGGTGTCAATTTTTGGACAGTGTGACGCCTGCATAATAAACGCTATCATAGAAGTGAAAAATGTACATACATTATCCAGTAGGTATACAAATAAATCTATGTCCTTGACCTGTGATCGTTTGATAGTTTTGATTCCCATTTCTGCTTCCACTATGACATGCTGTAAAACACAATAAAAGTTTTTACTCTTCAAGTCTCATACAAAATGGCACAAGTTCAACTAAAGTGTGATTAGCACTGGATGAGAATGAATGTATATATATGATTCTTCAGCGCTTATAGATAACAAAAAAACTCTACAAGGCTATAATTGTGAACGCCAGACGCACGTTTCGTCTACAAAAGATGCATCAGTGATGCTCGAATCAAAAAGATTAAAAGGTCAAATAAAGAACGAAGTTGAAGAGCATTGAGGGAAAAAAATTCCACAATAACTTAACATGAAATTGGTGTATCTAAGGACTCTGTTAGACTGTCCTTCATCGTTAATTCTCATAACAAAATATTAAAAAGCCAAGGATTTATACATACTTGAAGAGTTATATGACCAATAGGAACATGAAAGAAATACCAAAACCTGTCTAAGGTAAACTTTGACTGACGGAGTGGAAATCTTATTTTCTTAATAACTCAATTTCATAAACAATGAACATCGAAATGTTATCAAATAAAGGCTAAATGGGATTATACCGGAATGATGTACAAAAGGGGATACAGTAGTTTACCGATGTTAAATCTCATTTATCCATACAAAACAATGTAAAACAATTATATACCGGTGAAATTTCATGACTTCCAAAACGTGGGAGACGTTAAATGGTAAATGAGAGGCGGAAGATACCAAAGTCGAAGACAAACTGTCAACACCTTGTCAAAAAACAAAAAACGACCACAAGACAAACAACAGTCTCCAAAACAAAACAACGAAAACTAAAGACTGAGCAACACGAACCCCACCAAGACCGGAGGTGATGTCAGTTGCTCCGGAAGGGTTAAATAAAAAAGATACTGCTCCACGTGTGACACTAGATGAGATGATTATGGAAGTACGAGTTCGGTAATAAGTCTTATTTAAATCTAAGGTAATGTTATAATCGACAGCTATTGACACTGGAATGTTCATTGTCATATTTTAAACTTACAAATATTGTGAATATACGCATAGATTAAGGCGACAGTAGTTAACTGATGTCAAGATATTGTCTTGAAGTATGTAAAGTGGCACTACTGTCCTAACGATAAATTTTTCCAAATACCCAATTGCTTTGTTGTGGAATGTTTTCAATGTAGTAATTAAGCTTATCATTGATGTGTTTTTCGTCACAAAAATTAAAAGCGAACAAATGCTATGGAGGTCAACATGTTTGTCACTATGCTGTAGATCAATATGTTAATTTTTGATGTTGATAAAATGTAAATGAATGTATAGAAGAAGATACATGATCAAATATAGCGTGGGTAAGGTATAATACAAGAATCTGATTCAATTGATGAATATTTATCAACAAAAATAGTTAAGCATTATATCTGCTTTCTTCAGACAGTCTTTAGTAATCTTTGAAACGGAATGAGTACTTTTTTTTCTGATATTATGAAGGTTATTGTACTTTTCTGAGTAGAAAATTTAGGTTAAACAGCTCAAATTTGGAAGTTGTTAATAAAGGTTATATGCTGTCATTATAGAAGGCTTTGTAAGGTTATATAGCATATATTATCAAGATCTGTCAATTACCTCAAATGATTGACTAGTTCAATATTTTGTTTGTCCTTGTAGTCGAAATTCATGATTAGATTTTAAAAATTATTGTGTTAGTTTGCCAATTTAGTGTGATTACTATTAATTCTAGTTTCCGGTTCAATCGTTGTCACTCAGGCTATACATTAATCATACATAATTATGTTACTGGTTGTATTGGTAAGATATCTATAAATATATATAGATAATACAAACTAAACCAGCTGACATGCATATGTAGAAAGAACTACTTATCATTTTAGTTAATTTTATGTTTCACTATGGTGTTGAAATCTTCTTGAGGTTTAAAAAGATATTGGAGATGTTTTAAGGCAAACATTCCCATCATAAACAGTTCAATATACAGACCATTGATACTCACCATATTGTCGTCGACGAATAATTTTACTTTTCAACATTCGAAAAGTCTTCAAATGTTTGCTGCTAAGCTTCAAATTAACAACAATGTATGGGTTGAACAATTTTTCTCTTTAGGAAAGTAATGTGTGAACTGGGCCGGGTAACTCTCAAACTAACTAAAATTCCGAATTATGTTAAGTGTGTAGGTCAGCGGCCGAGTTTACACATCGATAACCTCTAGAACAATTAGTTAAATCCTTTAAATTCTCAACAAAAACATTTTGTCTTTCAATTTCAAAACTTTTTGAACACAAGGGTTTCATAAATTGTAATGCGCATGCCTTTACAGCAGTGACATCAATACAGTATTATAAAGATAACGAATTTAATTTCGACATTGGAACCAATGAATATTAGCTGTAAAAAATATAATGGACATATCAAATATTGCCTTTTAACTGTTTTAAATATATGAATGCTGCAATATTTAATGATGTGCACAGGCAATCTTACCAGCTGATATAAAAAAAATTGAGAGAATTGCAAGTGAACGATAAGAATAAATTATGCCGGCGACAAATTATTGATACATACCGTTCCCCATGTTTTTAAAAAATCAAGGTATTCATTCTTGTTGTAAGTAGGACTAAGGTCGCACACAGCGGCTGCAAAAGAGTCTCCTACAGTAAAATGTTTACAGTCAACAACATCCATAGCATAGCGTTCTTTACCGTAGCTGCAAGTCTCCGTTATTTCCTGAACAGCATTATATTCAGCAAATGTGTGTTGAGAAAGGTAACGGTAGTCTGTGATAAAACAAACAAAGAGAGACGTGAATCAGAACACCAATGTTAACTTTATAAAATAACTGATGTAAAATAATGCTCAAGCTGCATATGTTGTTATAATTAAATATTATATGACACGTTATGCCACTTTTGATTGGATGATGTCTGTCGTCGATTAAACAATTAACGGTCAGAGAATATGGTAACAAAGTCGCACAATTACTGTCAACGTTTCCTGCAAATTTCGACTATAAGACTATGATTTAGTTTAGGATGAAATTTGAAAAAAAGCAGGACAGGACTTTTGAGTAAAAAAAAATGGCAGGATGACAATTTATGTAAAAAAAAGTAAAGATAAACTAATAAAAAAAAAGGCAGGACCGAATAGAGCGAAAAAAAAAAAAGGCAGGACAGAGATTACAACTAAAAAAATAAATGCAGGACACAAATTTTCATCCTAGATCCCCCTCCCCCCCCCCCCCCCCCCCCCATAAAAATCAAATGGTTGCTCCCTAATGTATTTTTAAGGCAATGCTGTATAATTGGCTACTTTGTATCGTAAAATAGTTTGCCATGATATTTATGCACCAATATCATTTACCATATTTCCCGGAGTTTCGTTTTAATTAGAATGTATATCTGTTTGCAAGTTCAATGTCATTTTCAAGTAATAAATTAGAAATAATAGATGTGTTCTATATATTATTGTTTTGCTATTTTTCAACATTTAAAATTAGTCGGCGTTCGATATTGTCCTATCTAGATTATTTTGGGAACATCGTCGCTTTGGAATCCATTTGTACAAAATACACAAAAAAAATGTTTTTTCGCGTTAGACCATTTCGCCATATAAAAATTTAAGGTAACCTGCGCTTTCATGATATCTAAAAACATATAAACCATATACCATAAAAAATGTTCTGCTTTATTATTCCTATAGGACGTAAATTGAAAAATGCCAAGGAAATAACGTGTTATGCAGTAAACTTACGTGTGCTTGCTACGAAGGCAAACTTTTTAAGAGCAAAATTACCAGTTCCTGTTGATGAAAATAAAATAATATTGAAACCTTCTTATATGTACAGTGTGATCACTCAATACCAAACAAAAACAAAAGCAACATCTACAATAATAATAAGTTGTTCTCTCGTATGACTGATTTAATTTTTACAGCTCGTGTAAGGCAATACTAATATTGATATCATGCCAAAATAATGTCTTTACACTAAATCTATTGTGACTAATATCTGCACCAGGCGTAGCCTGTGTCGCTGCGTCATACCAATAAGGTGTCACACGACCAATTCAAAATTCCTTTTATATTCAACCATTTTTTTTCAATTTTCACAGCTTTCTTGGTATCTTTCTTTAAGTTTAACTTCATGAAAACAATTTATATGCCAAATTATACATTTAAAAACTTTCTACATTCCAATTTCAACCATTGTTTAAAGTCTTAAAGTGACACACGATGTTTCGGAAGACATACTACTTAAAATAACACCCTGGTTTTCTGAAAATATAAACTAGCATACTATTAAGCACATCTACCCTTAAACTGTGATGCAAGTTTATGCACAAGTAAATATGAGCTAAAATGGTCACTATATACTTCTGATTCAGAAAAAAAGTATCATTTATGTAACACATTTGCCAGTGTAAGTAAACAACAACATCAAAGGCACAGTGCTTATAAGTGAAGGGCTACTTTGTCATATTTTCTAAATGTAAGTGGGTGAATTGGTAGTGTGACAGTTCATTGTACATGAAGTTTTTCCTTTTCGTTTCACTAGAACAGGGAATTGATCAACTTCAATCATTGATTACTATGTATAGAATCTAAAACAAACGCTTCAAGTCAAATTAATATAACGAATTGGGTTCATATAGAAAATGGTAAGAAATAAAGTATACAACATAAGTATATTTTCATTTTGGTACAATGTTGAACTAGTATCAATCTACAATATATATCTATAAAATTGAGAATGGAAATGGGGAATATGTCAAAGAGACAACAACCCAACTAAAGAGCAGATCACAGTCGAAGGCCACCAATGGGTCTTCAACGCAGCGAGAAAATCCCGCACCCGGTGGTGGTCTTCAGCTGGCCCCTTAATAAAATAGTGTACTGGTTCAGTGAAAATGGACGTCACACTAAACTCCAAAACATATAAAGGAACTAAAATTAAAAAAACATACAAGACTCACAAATCCCAGAGGCTCCTGACTTGGGACAGGCGCAAAAATCTGCGGGGTTAAACATGTTTTGTGAGATCTCAACCCTCCCCATATACCTCTAGCCAATGTAGAATAAAGAAACACATAGCAATTTGCACAGTAAAACTCAGTCTAAAAGAAGTCCGAGTCCGATGTCAGAATAGGTAACAAAAGAAACGAAGCAAAATGACAATGATACATAAATTAACAAAGGACTACTAGCATTTACTGACATGCCAGCTCCAGACATCAATTAAACTGATTGAAAGATTACGTCTTCATCATATGAAAATCAGGTACAATCCCTCCCGTTAGGGGTTAAGAATCATATCATCATAAAATATATGAGAAGAACATAACCCGTATCATGCCAATAACTGGTTTTAGAATAAATGTGTTTATTTCCGATGCAAAGACCCTATGAGTGAATCAATATTAATACCAAAATATGCAATCCTCAATGACCTGACAACAGTATCGTAACTATATCCCTTCTGAATAAGTCCTATATATGTTTTTTGAGATTTTTATAGTTTGTTCTTATGTTGTGTTGTTACACCACTGTCCCAGGTTAGGGGAGGGTTGAGCGCTCGCAAACATGTTTAATTCCGCCACATTCTTTATGTGTCTGTCCCAAAACAGAAGCCTGTAGTTCAGTGGTTATCGTTGGTTCATGGCTGTCATATTTGTTTTTCGTAAAATGATTTGTTATGAATTAGGCCGTTATTTTTTGTCATTTGAAATGTTTGATATTTTTCATTGTTGAAGGCCGTACGGTTGCTTTACATCCACTTCATTTGAACTTTGGTGGATAGTTGTCTCGTTGACAATCATACCACATTTCCTTTTTATATGTAAATTCTTACCAGAAGTCTCAATAGAATGTTGTAACTTAGTCTGGTATGACTTTCTGTCATGATACCATTCTACTGACTCTGACATTTTACAACTTTCTGCGAGGTCGGAAATGACAGCCTGAGAATCGAGCTCCCCTTCAGTTTCCAGTATCTTCTTCTCAAGTATACCTGGATCAGAACCTCCTGACAACGGATTAACTCCATCCGGATTTCCTAATACTATATTATAGCCTCTACCAACAGTAATTTCTCCATTTCCGCTTGCAAAATTGCTAAGCAGAGCTATTACAACTACCAGTATTTCATACATTCTATAATCTTTAAAATTGAAAACTATAATCATGATACAAAAATTGCCAGGTGCGTTTTTTAATCATACTTAATCGATTAGGTTACAAAGGGTAGATTTTGAATATGAGCGCTTTTGAAGACGGTTATGTTTTCTTATATGAATGTATGGTTGATAATTATTATTTCGTCTATTCAATAAAATGATCAATATATGTTAGCTTTAACTGTTCTATACTTAAAAATGAGATAAATTCTGCCATGTTTACAATCAGAAAATAAGAACGTTAAAAACTGTTACAGTAAGAAATAAAGACAGAAATGCTTTATTTGTGTATTTGCATGAATTAAAAAAAACAACAATCGAAAAGTTTGATTTCACAGTCAAAGCAGGGAAAAAAATAAACAATCTTACATTGTCAATCTGCTTCAAGCAAAGATTTAAAAATATGCATAAAATATAGTTGTAAATAGAAACTTACTCATAGCCTGGTATTGTCTAATGCCAAAACTTGAAAGGTGATTTCCGTAATGACAGTGACACAAATGTCAAATATAATTTCAGTATACATATAAATCCTATTATAGGTCATGAAATATAATACACCGACGTTTCTTAATAAGTGTTATTCTATTGAAAATGACTTTAATACTAAATTGATACTTCATAGTGTAAAATATATAAAAAAAATTGAGTGTTCACTTGAAAATTAAATCCTATACTTCATTAAAAAAGTAATTACAGCAGTCGAATGCATTATACTGTTACATAAAGATTTTTGGGTCGAGGTACATGATACAGCATAGATAAGTCATCAAATTCAAAGAATGTATAAAGAAAAGATATGTAGGATGTTTGTTAACGACAAACAACACAATAAGACAAAACAAGAATGTGTACATAGTACACGGATGCCTCATTCGCACTATCATTTTCTATGTTCAGTGGACCGTAAAATTGGGGGGGGGCAAAACTCTAATTTGGCATTAAAATTAGAATGATCACATCATAGGGAACATGTGTACTAAGTTTCAAGTTGATTGGGCTTCAACTTCATCAAAAACTACCTTGATCAAACACTTTAACCTGAAATGGGACAGACGGACGGACGGACGGACGAACGAATGGACGGACAGACCGAAAAACATAAAGCCTCTCTACTATCGTAGGTGGGGCATAAACATATATTTTTCGAATTGAATGAGTCCAAATTTAATTGTGACTAACTTTCAACAAAGACTATCAAATATATGAAATCAATTTCTCAAAGACAACTAAGGTATAAAAAAGACAACAATCAAAAGGTTCCTGACTCTCAAATAAAAATGTTGTCGGGTTCAACTGCTTTTAGTACTCACCTTTCACTTTTAGTTTCGATTATTGAAAACGGTATTCGTTTAAGACCTGACATCAAGGACGAGTTTGAAATCAAAATAAATATATTGATATTACTTGCGATAAAACATAATATTATTTATAGGAAAAACATTAATGCCATTAGTGTTGAACAGGATTCTTTTCATCACTGACAACAAGCTCAAAGTAATAAATTTCAGGTCTAAGATACCATGCCTTCTTAAACCATTTAAAAACTCTCAGTGAGGTTGACACAAACTTTAACATCATGATCACATTACATTTGGGAATCATGTCAACGAGACAGTGACCACATAACATAGAAAAGAAGCATTACAGATCATAATGGATTGTTGTTGATGTACCGCCCCAAAGCAGAATAGACCGATTAAATATGTTAAAACGTGTTTACCATTAACAGGCCAATTCCAAATTATTCACTATTGTTGTGTAGTTCTGGGTCTTAACACAAAATGATATATGGGATGGATGAATATAAGCTAAAACACAATTATAATTAAAAACAAATTCTTCAGAGAACAATTGAAGGTCTTTCGACACTATTTTTTTTTAAATTGACCAGAAGCTACTTCCGGTTTACTAAAAGTTACTATTGGCACCCCATCATATGGTTTCTTCATACTCATTCATAAACTGTATGGCTTTTATATACTTTTGTCTGAATATAAGGGTGATAATTTGCTCTTCCGGTTAAGAAAATATCACTTCCAGTATCATATGATAGTTTATTTCACACTGATTCCAAAAATATATGGTTTCTTTATACTTTTCCATGAAATAAGGGAGATAATTTGCTACTTCCTGTTAAGAAAATGTCACTTCCAGTCTCTAATGACAGCTTTACTCTTACTGATTCCACAAAAAATATATGGTTTCTATATACTTTTGCCTAAAATAAGGGAGATTATTAGCTACTTCCGGTTTATAGAAGGTAACTTCCGGTCTCTGACTGACTAGGTGGTTTTTACCGACCTTGATTGGCTGTTAAGCCCTGACACGATGTGTTTGGTGCCCAAAGGCGTTTGGTGAGCATTTAAATATTTTTGTTGTTGCCAAGTTAGAAAAAGGCGGCTATTTTGGTGTTGCTGGATTGATTTGTTATTTTTACTATTCTGATTTGGTTTGAAGTTTACAGCATTTACAACGGCTGTTTTCAGGGCCAGGCTGATGAGCTGCACAGCCTGGTTTTTTTTCCTTATTTCAACCAGCTTTTTTTTTTTATCTTTATCTCAGCCAGCTGCCAGCTAACCACGTTCACAAGTACTCTTCTTCCACTCTTTAATGATAATTTTATATATGTCTATTAAAATGATATATGGTTTTTAGGTACTTTTTCTTGAAAAAAAAGTGCAAAAATTGCTACTTCCGGTTTACTCAGGGTGACTTTCGGTTAAAATCATTCAAGGTTGTATGTAACCCAACATTTTGCAAAATACCCTATGGCTTTATCATGTACCATATTAAAGAAATAATCAATTAACCTTAGATTGTAACATTTCAGGGGCAATTACTCCATTAGATATCATCAGATCGCTTCGGAATGAATGCACCATATCTTCGTCTCAACAACCTAAATATGAAGCACCAGTTATTTTATATTCAGCTAAAACATGAGATAAAATGCGCGCACAAGCAAAGAGCAAAATTTAAATCATGACTTTGACCTATGACCTTGACACCATTTTCTTTTTGGTTAACCAAGGAACTCAAATCAAGATACCCTAAGTCTCTATCACTAACGGTTCATGAGTTTCTTTTATACATCTCTTATGTCAAATACAAAAGGGGAAATAACTCTCATATGGAGTCTCAGTATCGCTTCAGTAAAAATTCACCGAAGCATCTTGAGGATTGAACGAGCAATTTAGAAAAATAAATTTATCGACTTCTTGTACGGTTGCGAAGGAGATGCGCATACAAGAAAATCAGTGTTTGAGGAGATAGCTCTTACAATAAAAAGTGTTAGGTTAAACAGGATAAGTTTCAAAAGCCCAATACCTGTTCAATATCATACGTAAAAAATCTAAGCAAAACCACTATATACCGCAAAAAACGGTTTGGCGGAAAAAGAAAAAAATAATAATAATTAAAACAAATACAATAGGTCTTTCCACAGAAAAGTGGAAAGACCTAATAAGATATGTATTATGACTTTGCAACAACTTTAATATTTATGAAACTTGTATTGTTGAGTTTTTTACGAGGCTAAAATATTTTCAAGTTGTCTTAATGTATAAATGTATGCATCACCTTATTATCTATTTAACAGTCATTCAACTGTATGTAGTGATATTTATAATCATGCACTCAGATCGTACACATCAAGACATCTTCATGTACCAAACTTTGATTTTTTTTAACCAAGATATTCTGATCTTATCATCTGGAACAAATAACGAAATGATGGTGAAGACAAATGTTATGTAGATACTTATGTTCAATCTATTTTTAACTTTACGAAATGAAGTTCTTGAAGCATATATAATTTATGTTTATGAGTTATGTTTTTTTTTTTTTTCAATAGAAATTATACAGAGGTTGTAAGTTCGAACCCCGATCGTGGCAGGTGAGCTCGGCTCATTACACGAATTTTTCAAAGAAGAGTAACCCCATTTGTTCAATAATGATACTATCAATAATAATAATTTATTAATGATAACATGAATAAGTTCTATTTCTTTTTTTAGGGATCACCATTGATGACATATATATAAATCGAACAGTAATTCAATGTTAAACGTCCTATTTAACGATTAAAGTACTGTTGTTTGTCTGTTTGTCTGTTTGTCTTTTTCTTTTTTAGTCATGACATTGTCAGTTTATATTTGACTTATGAGTTTCAATGTCCCTTTGGTATCTTTCGCCTCTCTTTTTATCTAATTTCCTTACTGTTGTAAGTTGTTTACCGTGTCTATTTGTCAGTCGTTATTGTCGAGTTTCAAAATGTGTACGAAAGTAGAACAGTTACATGTAAATTCAAGGTTTATTTAAAAATTAATACTCATATATAATTGCTGCATGGAGAAAAAAATCTCTGCATAAATACCCCCACTGAACCATTTTTAATATACTCGAACCATTACTTGTTCTCTGTTGGACTTTTAAACCAGGTATTATGCCACGGCAAAACACCCACGGGTATACCGTCTTTTCAGGTTTCGTTTCAATTAAAAAATTTAAAGTTTGTATTTTTACATATAGCAAGAAAAACGCCTTGAGCAAGCGGTGTTTTTCAAAAGAGGCGGAGGATATCCAAGGTAGAATCAAAACTTAAATCGAAGAGAGACCAAAATAATTATGTCAAAAAACATAAAAGAAAAAAAAAAACCACTACAAGTCTAACAAACACTATACAAAAACATAAAGACTGTGCAACACGAACCCCACCGAAAAGGTCACTATCAAAAACAAAAACTGCATTATTCTATGTATATCTGCAATTTTTTTCTATTTTCACCTGTTTTGTTTTCGATTCTCCTTCTTTCATCGAAGTTTCTGATTTCTGAAATTTTCAAGTATTTTTTTATACTTTTTAGACCAGTTTTCTTTTCTAAATTACCTTCCGATAATTTGTTGAAGATATTCTCATATGTTGTACTGCTTTCGCTTTGTTAACAATAGCGTGGTTAGACTAGTATCCGTCCGTTATTTGACAAGATTGACATATTAATATTTGTATATGCCGAAGGTATACTGAATATTTTTAGGAGGGAACCAACCTATAACGTGATAAAATTCTCGATAATCTTAATTTAGCCTAGATGTTTATTGCTGTTACAGTTTACCTCCCACGTAAATCCACATGTACCGTAACATATGTGAAAACACTATGTCGACTTCGCTGTCTTAGGATTCAGAAATAAAAATAACTACAGATCTGTTATTCTTATTTCAAAGCACAAAAGCTTGGATTAATGTAAAAACTTAAAATAAAACGTAGCAAAATTAAATCAATGATCTTGGCAAATTAACTTCATGTCCAAAAATGACGTCATATGAATGAAAATTCTCGGACTGGAGATTTTTCCGTTACTTGGACGCTCCAAATGCAGATGAAACCTCATTAAATAGCGTTTTGATGTAGCCATTGTTTCATTTTCTATTCTATTCCATTATTCGCTCATTTATAGATTTCATCAAGTCAACACGGCGGCTCACTCCTTGTTTACGACATGTGATTTGTGGATTTGACGTTAAATACACTAAGCCAACGAAAACAAATTGTAAATTTAAATTGCAAATGTTGGGTTGAGAGTTATATTGATTTAGCAAAAGTTTCAAGAGGTTGCTTAAGAAATATTTTGTGGAAGCCATTAAATTTTTTTGCTTTATCTTACAAGGGGTAAATTAGACAGCCACATACACGGCACACTAAAGTCTTATCTGCGCTTCAGTTTTTCAAATTACCGTATTTGACCTATTATAATCAAAGTAATTCATACAACCATAAACTTTTTTTATTTTCACGCGAAATTGTAAAGCTCAGTATAAAATTCGACACATGTATAAATTATTTCTTAAATATACGCCAGGTTTTTTATGGTTTGAACATCAATTGAAGATTAAAAAACTAGACTAAAACAATATATAAATTTTACAAGTCTTTACACTTTATTTCAAGAACACACCACAAAAGCTGCAAATTTATCATTTTATTTGTGATAATAACAAAAATACATGGTTATATCAAAATCCCTAGTAACATTCATCAATGGGTGGATATCACTTGTAATCTTATTATTCTTATACAATTGTGAATTGTTTTCATTATCCCATGTTATATATTCTTCTTTAGATGTCATTCCATTTACTTGCTGACACTGTTTGGAGCCGTTGTTCCGTACAAGATAGAATGGTTTGTCACGTGGTAAGGTGATAGGTCTCGAAGGATCGCTGTCATTTCTATAAAAAAAGATACTAAGCAGTCTTACATGTAGCCTCAATCTCTGCCTGTCTTCTTAGTTAATGACATCATATTGACAACTTATCAACGGATTTGTAAAATGTGTATCATAGGGTTATTGTATAAATATTGATAAGTAATGTCTAGAGAAGATTTCGATATTGGATATTTTATAATATAGTATCAAATAAGTAATGCAATTTTCTTCGTAAACTAAGAATGCAAGATAACTTGATTGTTTTTGTAGTGATTCATTTGAAGTGGCTCGGTACTTGTACATCCCGTCATTGTGTTGTTGTGCTATGGTTAATTTTTGTATTCTTGTCTTTCGTTTTTGCTAATGTGCTTTGTCTATATGCCTTTTTGTTAGTCTTTGTTGACATATTTGCTTGTTTTGTAGTGATTAAGATTATAACAAAATGTTGACTGCTGTACCCCTATTTTTGACATTTTTACCAATTATGTCTGTTTGTTTTGTTCACACATCATTGTCAATATGATTGAATTTTATGAGACTGTCATACAAGTGAGAGGTTTAGCTAGCTATAAAACCAGGTTTAATCCACCATTTTCTACATAAGAAAATACCTGTACCAAGTGAGGAATATGACAGTTGTTATTCATACGTTTGATGTATTTGAGCTTTTGATTTTGCCATTTGCTTAGGGACTTTTCGTTTAGAATTTTCCTCGGAGTTCGGTATTTTTGTTATTTTACTTTTTTCCTTGGTCTGAATTTCTAAATATACTCATAAATTAGAGCATTTCCGAGAAGTTAAAAAAAAGCATAGTGACTAATATATTGCATTTTATACTTTCGCCTTAAAGTTTGGTATGTAGAAGAAAAGTTCCGAGAAAACCGATAACAAAAAAAAAAAAAAACATTCAGTCTCGATTCTTATATTGAACAAAACACTTTATTTAAGAATTGAATGCTTCGTTTGGTAATTCTATTTGGGTTAAAAAAACGTTGACAAAGTATATTTTGTATGGCACACGTTCAACGCTTTTACAAACTTTTATATAACTAAATGTAGCATTCAGCTCATATTATTACATTTGTATAAGAGAGGGACGAAAGATACCAGAGGGACAGTCAAACTCATAGATTGAAAATAAACTGACAACGCCATGGCTAAAAATAAAAAGACAAACAGACAAACATTGTACAGAAGACACAACATAGAAAACTAAAGACTAAGCAACACGAACACCACCAAAAACTGGGGTGATCTCATGTGCTCCGGAAGGGTAAGCAGATCCTGCTCCACATGTGGCACCCGTCGTGTTGCTTATGTTATAACAAATCCGGTAAATAGTCTAATTCGGTAGGTCACATTCGTGAAAAGGGAAGGATATTGTAGTTACGACATAAGGAACATATCCGATATCATCTGTGAAACGGTTGTTCCATAACGGTCAAGCAACTCGTGATGGCGTCCGTAAAATTTACGAAGGGATGATTTCAACTTCACCATTTGGAACTCTTGGTTTAATAGCTTTCTTGTGAGCAGCAATCCTCTATCAAGGAAATCATGATAGGAAATACAAGCCCGGGAATATCGTATAAATTGGGAGATATATACTCCGTATGCAGGCGCTGCTGGAATGTTGCTACATAGAAATGGAAAGTTCACAATTGGGAAGCTGAAATCATCTCTTTTGTCGTAAAGTTTTGTTTCCAACCGACCCTCATTGTCAATTTCTAGATGTAAGTCAAGATATGAGGCAGACTTATCTGTATCTGTAGTATCCTTTATCTCTAATTCGATGGGATAGATTCGTTCAACATAGTCACCAAATTTTGTATTATTTAATGAGAGAACATCATCTATATAGCGGAACGTAAAGTTAAGGATATTGCTAACTTCTTATCTTTCTTCCTAAGAAGTTCCTGTATGCTATATCAGTGAAATTGCTTGTAAAAAATCAAGCCTTTCGTTTGTTTTTCTATGCATCGTTTAAATGTTGTCCGGGTATCATGTGCACTCATATTTAAGCAGCCTTTTATACAGAAATAAGATTTACCTTCTGGAGAGCCTCGGCCAATTAAAATTACGGAATCGTTTGAAACTTCTTCGAAATGTAATTATATGACAATTTACCTGCAACAGAAGTTCATCGTTATATCAGTAGTGTAGGATCCGCTTGGGTAATGTCCAGACGCGTGATTACGTCTGCTGTATCTGTTATCCTTTGTGTCCCATCGTATATATCCAGACGAAAAACCTACATATCAATTATTTTGTTATCACTATTGATACTAATACAACTATACCTATGAATAATTATCAATATGATTTACAAGTCAATTCGAATATGCTATATATTATTATACCTTGCATATATGATCAACAATTCTATTGGGTAACACGTTAACACGTGACATGGAATAATTCAGTTAATTTTCATTTAAATGCAAGGAAAGACGAATTACCCTTAAAATCAAACCTAGCGGTGATAACACTTTGAGCTTATTGATTTTTTCAAGCGTTATCTCCCATCAAAATGACGTCACAAACGTTTGTTAACGAAATTAAAATGGCAACGTTAGAAGCAAATCGAGTGGAAATTCATAGATATAGTGCCGATGTTATCTCTCATAAACGGTCATTTTGAGGGCCATTAATATATTACAGAAAGTGTCTACCTTTGTTGTGCATATGAAAAATTCTAAGACACAAAATAATTTTCTAACGTAAGTGTTTTGACAATCTGTTACTTCATTAAGAGAAGTGCTTCTTCAATGGTTTAAAATGCCCTTCCATAGTTTGTTCGGTATAATAAATCAATTGTGGCCCCTGAGGAGGGATAACTATCCAAAAAAATCTATTTCAATTTTTTAGGTGTGTTCAATTCATATTTTGTGTTGCCGTAGATGTACAAAGTTAACTGAAATTCTACATTACCTTTGGGACAAGCACTGTATTGAGGGATACAGTAATCCCCTTTTGGCCAATCTTTTACTTCCCTATTTGGTGCTTCCTCGCGCTTTACACAAAAACTGAGTTGAATATATCCTGTTGACATGGATCCTGACAAAGTATTACAAGTTTTTTAAATGCTGTTTTAATTCTTAACTACTGAAAATCAGCAATTCTAATATGACTTTCTTCTTTAGCTTTGAACATGGCCTGCACGTGATTGACGTCACAATTGAAATTGCAACGTCAGTTGTATTTTGAACAACGCCGGAGAACAAAATGGAGATTTGTGTTGGTGTTACTCACAAGGAAATTAAATCAAATCATTCTAAAAGTAAGTTTACATGTATCTGAGCATTCTTTATCATGAAACGGTTGATTTTCTATAACGTTTTGGCTTCATCAAATCAAAATGGATGCCTTTTGAACGCGTATTATGAAAGCCAATAAAAGTACATATTCATCCCTCAAAACATAGTAATGTATATTATTCACAAAATCTTATTTGCGTTAACCATATGCCAAGCTTAAAAAAAGTTGTTTGATGAAGTGATAGTATACATAATCCAAATAGCATGCTTCACGCAACAGCCAAAACCGCGTTAGTTAAATAGTTCCGGGTTGTAACTGATAAGTAGATGGATTTGTACATTTTACCAATGCTATATTTGTAGAATCGAGAACAATGGAAACATAAACAAACTATAAAAGGGTACAACACATAATTATATAATTTCGGGAGAATTATAGATTAATTTTCGTTAACAATGAAAATCAAAATTAGAATTGAATCATTCTTGAGAAACATAATGCATAGTATGAATTTAAAGCAAAGTAGTGGTCATTTCTTCATCTGGTTGAATTTGTTTGGATCAATATTTAATGATGCATGATTCAGGATAAGAATATGTGTTTTCCACTCAAGATGATTCCGATTAGATGCAATTATCGTCGGGGGGAATATTGTTCTCAAGTTTTAAAGAAAATTTGAGTTTTGAAACTTATTTCCTAAAACAAGTGTCAAAATTGTACGATTTTACATACACCTAAGCATTGTGTGAGAAACTTTAAGATTTATTATAAGCATAAGATAAGAGTATTATTTTCTGAGTGATAAAATGATATTTTCTCATCAAAAGTGATACAATTCATTTTTTTTTATATATTCCTGAACCATCCTTTCAACATCACATTTGGACAATACTGCCCTATACTTTCTGATCATTGTACAATATCAGTTCAGATTTTATCTCAGCCAGTACAAGAGACCGTATTCAATTTACAGAAAAATAACATGAAAAGAATTAACATAAATGAAGCTCGTGAAGGAGTATTTAAAGCTAATCTTCTGTCCTATGATTTTAGTCAAATTATAAAAGAAATAGACACATTGGTACTGGATAATAATAATAATAATGATAATAATTTATTGGATTCCAATAGTCCACTTTTAAAAGGGGTAAATAAAACTGTTTCAAAAGTTTCTTCTATGCTTTATAATGCAGCTTTTGTGGGCAATGCAAAGAGTAAAGGAAAAAAGGAACGAAACGTAGAAAAATAAAGAAACCATATTAATATGGGGAAGGTGAAACTATGTACAGAAATGTTAAATGTTTGAGTAGAAGGTTTTGCGAAACAACTTGGGATAAAACTTTGAGATTATATGTATTACATCAGAAAAAGGAGTATAATAAGTTGGTAAGAAAGAAAGAAATATAGAAATTTTCGTCAAAAAATTTTGGATAATATTTTGGAGGCAGAAAAACGCAATCCTGAAGAATTTTGGAAAGCCATAAATACTTTAAAACCCAATACAAATTCTGATCCTAGTTCAAATATAACTCATCATGAATGGTTTGAATACTTTAAAAAGCTTATGAATGTAAATCAGAAAGATAATTTTTCTACTGATAATAAGGTTATTGATCAATTTAACTCTGATACTCTCAATTATGACATGACAACTGAGGAGGTGACACTTGCATTAAAATCATTAAAGAATAATAAAGCTTGTGGAGCTGATGGTGTTACAAATGAGATGATAAAAATATCATGTTCAGTTAATACAGATATGTATGTGAAGTTATTTAATCTTATATTTAATCTGGGAAAATTTCATCAAACCAATTTGTAAGGGAGGGTGCTTCAATGATCCCTCAAATTATAGAGGAGTAGCCCTATCAAGCTTTTTAGTGAAATTATTTAGCAGAATTTTACAGAATAGATTAGAAAAGTTTTTGGAAAAGAATAATTTAGTTTGTAATGAACAAATTGGATTTAGAAGTGGTTGCAGAACGAATGATCATAGTTTAACACTCAAGAATATTATTGACAAAGCTTTCAAATCACCAAAGAAATGTTTTTGTCTGTTTTGTAGACTTTAAAAAAGCTTTTGATACAATTAATCGAAATGCACTTTTTCACAAACTGTGTTCTTATAACATAAAGAGATCATTTTATAATATTTTACAAAACATGTATGGGGAGGTTCTATTTTCTGTAAAGTTTAGTGAAGGGTTACACAATCCTTCAGCTCCACTGTTGGTGCAAAGCAAGGGTGCATTTTAAGCCCTACATTGTTCTCACTTTATATAAATGACTTAGTTACCATATTTTATAGCTCTTGTGACCCTACTATATTAAATGATAAAAATGTATCGTGCTTGTTATATGATGACCTTATGTTAATACCTGAATCAGAATCTGGCTTACAACAATGTTTAGACAAACTTAACACTTACTGCGATAAGTGGAATTTGACTGTAAATCTAAACAAAACTAATGTTATGCTATTTAATAAATCAGGTAAAGTTCTAACAAATTATAACTTTAAATTCAATGAACAGACAGTTGATTTGACCAATGAATATAAATATTTGGGTATTTTATTTAAGCCCTCAGGAATTTTCTCTTATGCTGTTAATCATCTGCGTAAAAAAGCTTCAAAGGCAATGTTTTGCATTAGAAAGCTCTTATTCTCTGATAAACTTAATATTTATCCACATTTAAAATTGTTTGAAAGTTGTTTAAAACCTATACTACTTTATTGCAGTGAAATATGGGCACTTATGTTAGTTAAAGACAATTCAAGTCTTGAATGTAGATAATTGTCTTTTTTACCATCAAAATTTCAAATAAAATTTGCTAAATATCTTGTTGGTGTAAATAAAGCTGCAGTTAACGCAGCAGTTTTACCAGAAATAGGTATGTTACCTATTGCTATTGATGCTGTAAAGGCTTCTATAGGGTTTTGGTGCCATTTGATGAATGCAAAAAAAGAAAAATATGCTTCAAATGCCTATAAATTTAGTTTAAATTTAAATAATGGTTTTGCTGTCAAATTAAAAAATGCTCTTTCAAAAATAGGGTTCATTCATGTATGGGAAAATCAAAATACTTTCTCAAAAAATGCCTTATTAATGCTGTAGGTAAAAAATTAGCTGAAAGATATACAGATTTCTGGAAAGACAGTCTTTTTAACGACCAGAATAACCCTAAAGGAAACAAACTAAGAACATACAGAAATTTAAAAAAAGAAATTTATTATTAATAGATTTAGACCAATACATGATATCAAATTTTATCAAAATAAGAATAAGTAATAGTAATCTAAATATTGAGCAGTGTAGACACCGTAAATTACCTTTGGAAAAAAGATTTTGTCCCCTCTGTAAAAAGGAGGTAGAAGATGAATATCATTTTGCTTTAAAATGTCAAATTTGAGAAAAATGTAGGCAAAAACTTTTACAGGAAGTAGAGAGTATAGTTCCATCTTTCACCAAAATGTCTGATGAGGAAAAATTTACATTTATGTTTACATTTAATGAGTATGACATAACTAAAATTATTGTCAAGGGAGTTAATGAATTTTATATGTATTAAGAAATAGCCTAGCTGATAAGAAAAACTAATTTATGTAGCAAAGTTATGACTATTTTATATTTTTCTTATAGTATTTGTTATGTTATATTTTATAGCAATTGCATTATGAAAATTGTACTTGCACTTTCAAATTTGCAAAAGTATCACCTCCTCTAAAATGTAGTCTTATAGAATATGAATGTTGTTTAAATTTAGATAGTGTATGTTTGTAAATATTGTCATGTTTGTCTTGGTAAAATCCAATATTGGTAAAATCCAAACACCAATGATTTGATTTGATTTGATTTGATTTGACATCAAATGAATTTGTCTCGTGATACTAGTATAACCTCAAAATGTCTCGTCGTCCTTACAATAAATTAAGTCAGCAAATTTTAAAATCGACATTTTCTTATAAACTAGCGGTATTTGCTTTCTATTATTACAGATATTAATGATCTTACAATTGTTATTGTTATTTAATGGTCCATTTACTTCCATGGTTTAAACCTGATCTCTAAGAATACTGGTTTGTCTTTAAATGTTAGCGATATTTTCGTAGAAATGATTCAATATATTCAAACAGATTGAAGATTGCGGACTTTAGTATATATATTCCATCGATATGTGTATTTTGTATCTATCATTGTTTATTGTTATGATACTAGTATAACCTAGTCTGACATTAAAACATAAACAGTATGAAAGCGTTAATGTATTTATTATATATATCGGTGCGCTTCATTATGGCTTATTTTTTTATTTAAGGAATGTATATATAGCAATGTGAGTTATGTGATCTTGTATTCTTACAAACAGCACTGCGAACTTCATTAAAGGAAACACCTATCATTACGACAAAATAAAGTAAAGATTATTGTATCTTGAAGATACTTTAATGATGTTATGGTATAGAAATAAGGAGATGTGGTATGTTGCCAATAAAACAACTATCCACCAGAGTTTAAATGAAGTGGTATTAAGCAATTGTAGGTCACCGTATGGCCTTCAACTATGATAAATATCCATACCGTGTAGTCGGTTATAAAAGACCCCGACAGGAAAAATGTGAAATAATTCAATTGAGAAAAGTGACGGCCTAATTTATAAACAAAGCATCAAATGAAATGATTTATGTAGTTGATCTGATGGAAGTACGGTAAGAAAATATCATTATATTATCATCATAGTGTTATATGCACTATTAGTCTATTTATACACAAATAAGAATGTGTGGAATGATTGTCAAATATACAACTATTCACTAGAGACCAAAGTTCGAGGATGTAAACAACTATTACAGATCATCTTAAATTCTTCAACAAAAAGTAAAAACAATACTGTATAGTAAGCTACAAAAGACATCGACATTGCAAAATGTGAAATAATTCCAACGGGAAACTCTTTCGGTCTGCATTATGCTTGAAACAATAAACGGAAAACAATTGTTTTATTTATAGGTTTAAATTGACGTTGAACTAGCTTTCCGTAACTGCGAGTTGTCGTAAGCTTAGATCGGTATTTTGTGTTTTTGTGTTTTTATCTTTGTTGTTTTGTCTTATGCTTCGTTCCAATCTGATGAAATAAATAATCCTTTGCCAAACATTTTGTTCTTATGGTATCCTGTTACACCACTGTCCAGGTTAGGAGAGGGTTAAGTGGGCTTGGTAGTTTGCTGCCGTGTGATATATTTAATTTTTATTTATTGTTTTTAGCATAAATCAGGTATTTTTTCCCATAACACAAATCCAACGGATAAAATGACATCATAAACTGTCCGATAAAAGTTTGACCTTGAGCAATTTCAAACTATAACTATCATAAAGGTGTGTTTATAACTATATAACAATTATACATGTTTTAGTTTATATAGATATAGGAAGATGTGGTATGAGTGCCAATGAGACAACTTTCCATCCAAGTTACAATTTATAAAAGTAAACCATTATAGGTCAAGGTACAGCCTTCAACACGGACCATTAGCTAACACCGAACAGCAAGCTATAAAGGGCCCCAAAAAATTACTAGTGTAAAACCATTCAAACGGAAAAACTAACGGTCTAATCTATATAAAAACGAGAAACGAGAACTACGTATGAACTACATAAACAGACGACAACTACTGTAATCAGATTCCTGACTTAGGACAGGTGCAAACATTTGCAGCGGGATTAAACGTTTTAATGGTACCAAACCTTCTCCCTTTTCTTAAACAATAGTATAACATCACAACATAGAAAAACACACTATAAAATATCAATTGGAAGGCTTAACTCAATCCAAAAACGTAAATTAACACACAATGCACGAATAAATTTGACCTGTGACATCTAAATGCAAATACACAGTTAATAAAAAAATTACAAGGGATAAATAATTAAAGTCAAAAGTAAATAAACAGGTTTAAACATAGTTAAAGTATGATATCACTGTGAAATTAAAAACAATTGTTTTTATGTATTTAAAACAAAATCAATGTAAGTACCCACCAAGAAAATAAGCAAGTGTTGATTGATCCTTTCAAGAATAAGTTCAATGATTCTGTCATGTTGCTTAAAGACAACAAGATCAATTTTTTGAATGAAGATATCCATCTATATTTCAAAATGTATACCAAGAATAACCTGGAAATAGATTTTATCAATGTCAAAATATCAATCAGATAGCACGTTGACGAACGTTTACTTTTTATCAGTAACTATAAGTACTAGTATCTTAAAATTATAACACAAATATACAGTTTTACCTTGTGGAATCGAGGCATCATTATTATATTCGTTCAAAGCTTGTATCACCAAAATCTTCTTTTTCGCAATGGTCTGTACACTAGTGATATCATTACAAGTACTGCGTGCAATGAATCTATCAAGTAAACCCCAAAACTGTTTTTGAAAAATCATATCTATACTTATAAGCTTTAGAAACACAGGTTCTAGTTCTATGTCAGTGCCTACAAGAAGACTTTTCGTATATTCTCCATATAATCGTGTTTGAAAGTATGGACTTGAAGCAAAAACTCGGAAGTCAATTGTCCTAGCATCCTTGTTTAAATAAGGCAATATAGCTTCCGGCACCTGTAATGAAACAATTCAAAAACAGATTGCAGGTAACTTTCTAATATATAATTACATTACATGTATGTTTCATTATAATACGTTATTTTGATTGGCTAACAGCAATCTCGCTTCATTCTGAAATTAACCTTCACTTCAAAATGAAATGTAACAGTCATGATGACACGAGCTTCCACAATAAAGTTCACAGGTAAATAAAAGGAAAACTTGATAGAAATCGTGTTTTCATAATCTTAGCAAACAAATGTGATTATAAATATTGAATGGCTCTTTTAGTAATTCTATATTGGTGTAAAAGCGTTGACCGTGCGCACATATTTAGAATGAAGCGCTTCCGCGCTTCATACAAAATGTACTTCGGTCAACGCTTTTACACCCAAATACATTTACAAAAAGAAGCATTCAATTCTTAAATGATTCTTTTGAAATAACAATAAACATAAATGAAAGAGGATATCGTTTCCTTATACTCAAAATAATGTATATTTTGTATCTAGCTATGTAATACCAGATAAGTTAATATGTCCCCTATCTAGTTACAAAATATACTTTATTTTGAGTATAAGGAAACGATATCCTCTTTCATTCGTGTTTATTGTTATTCAAAAGAATCATTTAAGAATTGAATGCTTCTTTTTATAAATTTATTTGGGTGTAAAAGCGTTGACCGAAGGCTAGACTCAAGCTAGCAGCCACTCGCTAGCAGCCACTCTGGCCGCTAGCAGCCAGTTTTCAGATATGTCTATGAACCCAAAAGTTGCATAAGATTCAAATTTACTAAAACGTGTTTATTTTATATTACTACTACAATATCTGTTTTAACTTCAATTTAGCCGTCGAAAACACTATTCAATGAATTTTGAAATTTCATTTCCTGTTCAATATTTTAATACAATAGCAAAAACTATGTGCGTTTAACGTCGTGCAGGTGTTGCACTCTTTAAGACTTTACTTCATCTGTCAACACCGAAAAAATGACATTATTTAAATATTGGCTAAATTTTCTTGCTACCTTGTATCGACAGAAAATTGTGTGCGATATTGTTTGAAATAGCTTTCCATATTCTCGGCATCCTGTAAAATAGTTCCTAAAAAGTAAAAATATTTCTACGCTACAAGAATACAAAGTTGCGTTCGTACTTTAATACTTTCATGTCAAACAAATCTGTTTTAGCGAATCATTCTTTTTCTGTAACAGTGGGTTTCGCTTAGTTTCGATGATACGCAGGGTTTATTTTTAGTAATCAAAGTATGGTGTGCAAGGACATAACTTATTAGCTATATTACCAATTTTTTTTTTTAAATCCGTGCTATACCCCACCTGGATTTTTCAGTCAAACATGCCTAAGGGTCTCAACTTTCTTTTGCACCTAGTGTGGAAAAAAGTATTGCCTCAGAATTTTTTTTATTAACTTTGAAAATTAGGGTGGGATAGGGTGTCGGATCCCAACTTTAGATCAAATTTTAAAAAATCCGTGCTATACCCCACCTGGATTTTTCATTCAAACATGCCTAAGGGTCCCAACTTTCATTTGCATCTAGTGTGGAAAAAAGTATTGCCTCAGATTTTTTTTTATTAACTTTGAAAGTTAGGGTAGGGTAGGGTGTCGGACCCCAACTTTGGATCAAATTTTTAAAAAATCCGTGCTATACCCCACCTGGATTTTTCAGTCAAGCATCGCCCATCGATAACATGCTTTCAACATGCTCATAAATCTTCTTTTCATGTTTGCGACCAATTCGTGAAAACTGTTTGCATTCGAGCCTTACGTCATGGGCTCATCTGCTGACTTTGCTCAGGTATATTACTGATTAAGTGGTTCTGCATATTTAATCATCGTTGGTTGACACATATTCAGACTTGTCCACTTTTATCTTTGTTTTCTTTTTGAGAGTTCCCTTAATCAATGTTTGGTCGTATTCTCTCTCAAAGTTTTTCGTCCCTTAGTTTGGGCGTAACCGGGTCTCGGGTATAGGATACGATGATCATTCACGTCGAAGGTCACGAAAAGAGTAAGAATGCTCGCTCCTGTTTAACCAATACAAATTTGTCTACAAGCTTTCTTGTTTATAATGTTGATAAAAAACGTCACTTTATCAAAAGACTGACCATCTGATGTCATTTTTAAATCATACAAAAAAAAACATGTTCACACAGAAAGTGTTTGGAAAAGTTTCCCTTGACCCTGAATTGTACAAAGTTAACACAATTCGGAGAAATGGTAGGAAAATAACCATAAGAGACATAGTGGACAAGCGAAAATAAGAGTACATTGTGAATCATCCGGATGGTTTCCAATTTAGGGCTTGCTACATCAAAGGAGTTAAAATAGACACGACTACTAAGCTAACGTGAATAAGCGACTATCTAGCCAGCACCAAAGCTAAAGGTGAAGTCTAATGCGTTACTTCCAGTAGAAGGTTTTTAAGGATATTGGACTTGATTGGATATTATTTAATACTCCTGATCATCATTCTTCTTGTTGCACTCTTTTTCATCTGACACTTCATATTCCTCTCCATTCGACTTCATTCGACTCATACATTTTGTACCTGTCATTTGTATTGTCAAGCTCCGCGGCAATATACGCCAGAAACTCATTTTCAGTATATTCAATTCTCCATTCCAGTATAAAAAGACTTTCCTGGAGGCGTGGGGTATATAGTAGTTGTATGTACATATGGTTGCGTAAATCTACTGCCGTCAAATCACTACTCCATTCAAGAGCTTGTTAAAGGGTCAAAAGGAGTTCGAAGATATCATATTTATAACCATCTGCATATCCATGTACATATCCATTTAGTTTGTAAAAACTCTGCACAACCATACAATCTAGGTGCTTCAAACTTGTATAACCCAGTTCGTTGTATGAAAAATGTAAATAACACTTTATAAACGTTGATGATTTATTAATTTTGTGTCGTCTCAGGGTTAGATAAAAGTCAAATACCAATCCGCTATTGCGTGATGCCGAATCAACTGAAATAACTAGTGATCATATTTAATAGGAGTAACACGAAGGGTGACACATCTTGAGCAGGATCTGCTTACCCTTCCGAAGCACCTGAGATCGACCCCGGGTTTCGATGGGTTCGTTTTGCTCAGTATTTAGTTTTCAATGTAGTGTTTTGTGTACTGGTGCTTGTCTTTTTGTCATGTTTTGTTTTTTGCCGTGTCATTGTCGGTTTTGTTTCGACTTGTGAGTTTAAATATCACTTTGGTATCTTTCGCCTCTCTTTTTATCACTTCTAAAGTGAGCATACCTTAACCTAGCAAAGAATTACTGTAATAAAAGGATGAATGCGAATGTGACGGTGTCGGATCAAGGAGTCTAACAAGATTTTAAAAACCATATGAGATTAATGAAAGTTCCATTCGTAATGTACAGAAAGCGTTTGGAGAAATTTTCCTTGACCCGAAATTGTACAAAGTAAAACACAATTCGGAGAAATGGTAGGAACATAACCATAAGAGAAATAGTGGACAGGCGAAAGCAAGAGTGCATTGTGAATCATCCGGACGATTTCCAACTTAGGGCTCGATATATCAAAGGAGTTAAAGTAGACACAACTACCCAGCTAACATGAAGATGCGACTACCTAGCCAGCCTCAATGCTAAAAGTGTAATGTTTTTTAAGATACTTGACTGCGGTAAAACTCGGATTGCAAAATATAAGCCGGAAAAATTAGACACACACTTTAATTTGCGAAGACTACATGTATGAGATTGACACGAAGAATGGTCACCCAAACTTACTGGCCTTTACTGTGTCGAGAAGTCGATAACAACCTTCTTCGGCTGAGGAAAAGATAAATGTACCATCAACGGTATTCAACGGATTAATGATTCGCAAAGAATATATATCACGCGACAGACTACCTTGGTTCATCAATGGTGTTCCCAGAAAATAAAAAAGTAATTGATTGTGACATCACGTTTACTGTTAAGGAGATGGATGGAGATATGATAGCAAAAGAATGGTTACCTCAATGATTTTCCACTGGCTCCACAATCTTTGCAAATCTACGGAGCCGAATCAAGAAACGGAAGCTTATCTTCAGAACACGACAATATATGTGGTGCATCATGTAAACTTAAAGAGGTGTCTGGCCCGGGGGTTGAAACTTAGGAAGATACATAAAGTTATCATGTTTACCCACATCCCACAGTTGCAACCTTACAATGACAAGAAAATGAAACTCCGAACCGAACCTTTGGCAACACGAAAGCCTTAAAACTAGCAATCATTCCCAAATTCAAGAAACCGACAATATCTAACAAATTATTGGCTGTAATCCACAGGACACGAACCAAGTTGATAACTATTGCCGACTGGCCAAACTAAGACATTCTTAAGCCATAGTACCAGAGGTAGAGGGAGACTTTGCCTCTAAATGGTCTTTAGCACTTTTACTGTAGACCAGTTGCTTATTCTCCTCCGATATCTCTTTGAACATTCGATTTTCATCTTTCTGGTACAAAAATCTTCTTCAAGTTTATTCACAAAGATCTTGACCACATCTTCCCTCTCTTTTTATATTGTACAATGTATATAACAAAGTGGTTCTCTAGTTAACATCCTGTCGTCATAGCACTTAATGATATAGCAAATTCCGGACGGTGTGTGCCTCTGGTAGGGTTTGCTGTCTGGTTTGCAGTCATTCATTTGGCACCAGCGACTCATGATTTCTTCGGTCGAAATCTTTTTCTATTCCTTGATTTATTTTACAAATTCTTGATTTTTTTTCTCTACGATCCCTCACATTTTTTTTTGACTTGACGTCCTCAGGAAAAATTCAAATTCTACATACACTACGAAATAATGGAACCTTCATTGAAATCATATGGTTTTTAAAATCTTATTTGGCCCCTTGATCTGGCATGTTTACATTCGCAGTTACCGTGTTATTACCTTACTCTTTTTGCTTGGATAGGGTCATTTTGGAAGTGATTAAAAGCGAAGCGAAAGATACCAGAGGGATATTGAAACTCACAAGT